ACACATCATAAAAATTTTCAAAATTTCATCATGTAGTCAGATTTTCTAAAAAAGTCATCAAGATTGTGATGTACATGCCATATAGATTATCAAACTAGTCCACCACATGCATTCAATAGTATTAACTTTCCAGGTTATTTCCTAAGAAAATAAACAAACAACCGCTTTAACTTACAACAATAAGTTTCAAGAAATGGGTAGTTCTACTTCACCACTCATGTCTGGAAAGCACCTCCATGGTAGAGTTTTCAAAATATGTATTTGATCTCCTTCTATTTCCCCTACATGATAAAAAGGAAAGGTCAATATTTCAAGTAAAAATTTTATCGGTAAGTTTTAGCAATCTATCCAACGACCGACAAATAAGTCGACAGAAAACTCGACGACTGTCAACTTAGCATTCAGTTCGGCTTCGTCGACTTTGGCATTAATCCGTTAAAACCCGACAAGGTGGTCGCGTCGATCACTATGCCCTTCTATTCGGTTTCGTTGATCGGTTCGTCTATTACCATCAAGTTGACATAGATCTTGACAACAGATAACAAACTTCAATTTTTGACATGTTTTTGAACCAATCTGAATTTGATCATCTCCTTGGAAATCATCATTTCGGATTTTCAATGATCCAAAGACCATCATGGTTGCCATCACAAATACAAAAAGAGTATTTTTAAGATTGTTGGAAAATAGAATGGGGTATTTGTGATGAACAACGATATGTTTTAAGGAAATCGTGTCTTCATGAGTCTCAAATTTTCTAATTCTTTAAAGATATCGTTGTTTATCACAATACCCCATTCTATTTTCCAACAGTATCTACTATAGTAGAAGATATCTTTTTGTTGAAAATTATTTTCCTCAATGTAAGTTTATGTTTATTAGGAAACAAGAACACTCAACATGTCCCAGTGTAGCCAAATTAGACTTGTCTAACACTTGTGCACAAAGTTAGAAAAGTAATGCCTCTTTATAGTTAAATGAGTTGTTTAAGACAGATTGTAATTGCTCTTTGTAAATTACTACTATTTTTTCTTTCTTTAAGAAATGAATATCCTCTTTGACAAAAAAAAAAAAAAAAAAAAGAACTGAACATGCAAAACATATCTTCCAGAGAGCCCAAAACGTTGGAAATTACGGATCAAAAGGGCCAACTCTAGAGTTGAGCCTAATATGTGTACATCACCACCGCCGATTCGGCGTTCGGCCTACCCCTTACAAGTTTTTAACCATTCAGCATGCTCATGATACAGATGCTTCAAAGGCCCAACAATAATCATAAAAGGAAATTAAAAGAAATTAAGAAAACAAAAAAAGGAAAAAAAATTATGGCATCCCCTTTATTACAGTAGTTTTTTTTTTAATAGTTTTTTGAACGGCTGGCAGGCGCTATATCATCAAATCCGCCGGTCAAGGAAAAGAGAGGTGAGAAATGGCGGCCTTAAAACTTTTAAAATTAAGAAGAAGAATATTTAGAAGTACTTTGAGTAAAAGAGAAGAACATTAGGACAATACTTTCGTCACCTTTGTCTAATTGTCGATTTCTCTTTTTTGAATTTGGAGGCAAAAGGTTAGCGGCAAACTGGTCAGCATCATCCCTCTATTGAACCTATCACACGAGAATATACGGATGTTGTGTTGGTTTTCATTTTAATCAGATCACACACTTTTTTGTTTGACAACTAAAGAATGAATAAGTTTCATGTCAAGTTTTAAACATAAACAAATTGATACACAATTGTAGTTATTTTTTATAAATTATTAATCTCTACGTGTCACTTTATACTTTTGCTGTTTCAAAATGATTGTCCAGTGTGTATTTTTACTTTAGTATAAATTGAATTAAAAATAAAAATTTAAAATAAACAATAATTTTTTGATGGAAAGAGTATATGTTTTTGTCGTTGATCATATCTATAGTATTATACTAAGAGAGAAACCAGAGAGAGGGAATCAAATTTTTTCCCACGTTGACACATAAGACAAAATCTTATGTGTCAGTTTCCAATTGGTTACAACAAAAACTATTTTCAACAATTACACCAAATGTCCTCTAAATTTTCAGTTATTCATTTGTTACCATTTTGAAATTAATTGAATATATGAACCATTAATTAACAAACCCACTAAATCAGCAAAAACCATAATCAACAAAAACTTTCTATTTCGTAATGGTGAGATGAAATAAAAACGGAAAATCTTCAAATCTTCTATTATGTGTCACCCAAAAAAGGTAATAATTAATTTTATTCATTATACAATCTTATTTGATTTGAAATTCAAAAACTAACATATTCAATCCACACACATATATATATATATATCTATAGTATTATACTAAGAGAGAAACCAGAGAGAGAAACCAAAAAAGATTTTTAAAGGTGTCACATAGGATAAAATCTTAGGTGTCATTTTTCTAAAACTTGACAGAAAAAAATATTTACAACAATTACAATAATAGTCCTTAAAATTTCCATTAAATAAAGTTTTATCAATCTGCAGTTAAATTCTATCAATTAATTTGGTGGTAAACTTTTTTTTTTTTTGTATTCGGTCAAAAAAAAACCATAACATTTAAAAAAATCAATATTATTAATGGTTTCTTTCCATTTAAAAAATATAAACATTGATTTAATTCATTTAAAAGCTTATATTTAAATTCAAACATTTTTTATTAGCACCATTAAGGTGAATGAGCGACAAAAAAAAAAAAAATCAAAGTTCAGTTATTCAATGAAAAATTTACAAATTAAATGCATAACCTATTTGATTACGGCCATATCAAAATTTGGTCCGCAAAATGCCGATATGCAAAAAAAAAAAAAAACAAAAAACAGCAAGAAAACCTCATTGAATGAATACTGATTTTTTTTCCCTTCGGCCAAATTAAAACTATATATATATTTGTATATATATATATTTAACATATTTATTTTTTCTGTGTTTCCTTTTGACAAGACTCTGAATTTCCTTTCCCAAATTTTGTTTCGGCCAATTATTTTGATTTGATGCTGATTTGACCTAATTTTGATAGGTTAAAATTTAGGATAGAAACTATTTTTGATCATGCTAATTTTTACCTAATTTAGCCTCATCAAATCAATAGACCTGTTTTTTATTTGGCCGAAATATTTACCATACTATAAATGCTAATTATTAACAATACTATTTCAAATTTTAAAATAATTAAATGTGCCGCATAATTAGGAAAAGACGAAGGGAGCCATGGTTAATTTTGGATTTCATTCAATCAAATATAATAAATGCATACCAATCTTCTTTCTTGAAATATAGATACATACACATATTTGTCTTTCTACTCCATCCCAAAACTCTCAAACAACCCCAATCTGTATTCATTTTCGATTCACTAAGCTTGATTTCATTGCATATATTGAGGTCTGACAAATATTTGATTGAATCTTTTGCAGTTTTTTTTGGTGATTGTGAATGAGAGTCAAAAGAAAATGTATTCATATTACGAACCAAAAAGAAGAACCTCATAAAGAAAGCTTAACGTTATCAAATGCCTTGAAGGGTGGTTGGTTTCTCCTAAGAGACAATTTAAATAGGTCATCGGTTTCACGGAGAGGGGCAACCACCTTCAAGAAAATTCCATATCTCTCTGTGAAGCCTTGCTTTTTTGTGAAGTTCTGAGTACACCTTTTGCAGGTTATATTGCCAAATCAAGTAACTAGCGCCAATTATTAGCATTGGTATGAAACATGTTTGTTTGTTTATTTTAATGAATTCTCTCTATGATGAATGCATTTTTCTTTCTCATTGAAAAAATTAGTTTATTACTATTTAATATTTTGTTGATTAAAATCTTGATTTGATGGGTATGTATAATTTACATTCACCATGAAATTAAAATACTATTTTTTTAAGTGATGATACAATAACAAATGTTGTAATGATTATTTTCTTTATGACGTGTTGATAAATTAAATTTTCTGATGATTTAATGCAGACAAGAGCCACCAGTTTATAGTATTTTATTCTTTCAATCTAAAAAAATAGTTTATGTTGAGTTTTATAAATCTCAGAATATGGCCAAGGTATGCTTCTATCTCTTCTTCTTGGTTTTTTTTTTTCTATAAAATATTTACATTAATGACTTTTGGAGATAGTACGTACAATGCTTAACCTTAATCCATAGCATGAATCTCTCTTTTTCTCAACATAGCAAGCAGTATCGCATCTCTCAAGTCTTTCAATTTATGAATATAATTCCACTTAAAGAACCCTATCTTGCACGACCCATCTACGGTGACGTTGGTCATCAAAGCCTTGAAAGATCCTGAAGGGACTGTTTGAAGACCAAAACATGAAACACTTTGGGAATACTTCAATCGATGATTATATGATGTAGTTGAGGTTATTCATGATGAATCACATATGTATTTACACCACATGAATACATCACTCGATGATAAAGCGTAAATTCTTATATCCGCGGGTAACATCTAGTATATTTTATAACAGTAAATTTGTGAGCAAAACTTAGCGAATTGACGAATCATATTCGTCTTTGTCCCATAAACGCTTCTCAATTATTTTTATTTATTTATTTTTGACTTGTTTTGTTCGGTAAAGATAAAAATGGTTTGAACAAATATAGTAGTAGTACTATCGCCTTGTACATACTTGGATTCTCATTGGCCGCAAATCCCAAAACTCCAAAAGCACAAAAGTGGGGTCCATTCCATCCTTAGCTGCCCGAAATCACGCGGCGGGCAGATGCAAATTCCCAAGTGTATTATCATCATCAAAGAAGAGTAATAAAATTGCAATTTTTCTCCACTCATCAGTGGAGTGAGTGGGAGTGTTGAGTCCACTTCATTCATGTTCTGCTTTTCCTTTTAGTCAAGCCAAAGGCAGAGCCCACGATCCACACCACCTCCGGCCACCCCCGTGATTGGGTGGCGCGTGGGATTCATGCAATCCGGGCATTATTTGATTAGCTAAATGCCAGTATAAAGAAACGAAATCGGGAAGCAATGGGGCAGGGAGTAAGTTGCAGAGTAGGCAATGAACATGAACTCTTCCGCTCTGTCCAAAGGGGAGAGTTGGAAACTGTGGAATCCATGGTTGATGAACACCCTGCTATCCTCCGACTCAAAACTGTTCACGGGAGACTCTCTGCACTCCATGTCGCCGCTGCCAATGGCCGACCCCATGTTCGTTTTCCTTCTTTTCTGTATTATATATTAGTACTTAGTAGAGTTAGTACTCTATTTGTTTGCTGAACTCTGTTTGATCATATGCATAATGGGGCTAACTACTTGCTAATTTCTAGGTTCTATCTATGCTTTTGGATCGGTCTGTGCATCCTGATGTTTTGAATCGCCACAAGCAGGTGAGATTGTGCGAAATGGTTGTTCAATCTAGGGTTTCTGTTTAACCTATCCAAATGGAAATGGAATTCATAATTTGTCTTATGACTTGCTTCTTGCTGTTTCTTGGATTGTTTTTTAGACCCCTTTGATGTTAGCGGCAATTCATGGACATCATTCATGTGTAGAAAGGCTGCTTCAAGCTGGAGCTAATGTATGATCAATTTCTGTCATTGCTGTCTCTAAACAGTTTTTTTCTTCTTCTTCTTATCTTGCTTTCCCTCCTCTAATTTGATTTCGAATTCTGGCTTAATTTCATAGATTCTGACGTTTGATTCCCTGAGTGGGAGGACCTGTTTGCATTATGCCGCATACTATGGGCATTCAGATTGCCTGCAATCAATCATTTCTGCTGCCACTTCCTCCCCAGTTGCCCATTCTTGGTAATCCTCATTGGTTCCTCTTTCTATTATGGGTGTCAAATTACCGAGAAACACAACTTAATCTAATGATTCTTTGGTCCTTGTCATTGCCTTCAGGGGATTTGGAAGGTTTCTGAATGTAAGGGATGATAAGGGTGCAACCCCATTGCATTTAGCTGCCCGTCAAAGCCATTCAGAGTGTGTTCATATGCTATTGAGTGAAGGGGCTCTTGTTTGTGCCTCTACTGGTGGATATAGGTATTAGCTTTATGGGTAGTTTTCCATCCGCACTTATTTTTCTGTAGTATAGTTCTAAATGATGTTGACACATGGGTGACTTCCTTCTGTAGCTTCCCAGGGAGTACGCCTCTTCATTTGGCAGCACGTGCAGGTTCTTTGGATTGTGTCCGTGAATTACTTGCTTGGGGTGCTGATCGTCACCAAAGAGATTCTTCAGGGTGAGCTTACCTTATATCTTTGCAATTGTTGCGTTATTGTATCTTAATTATAGTGGATCATAGTGACATCTGGATCAATGTGAACATACTAGAGGGGAAAGGAGTTATGTACTTCCTTTCTTCCTGAGAGTTATGACAGTTAAATTGCTAGGATGTTAGCGCCGATACATGGTGGAAAAGAATGTTGATGTATGTCTTGAGAATTGAGTTTGCAAAGCTTGCGGCTGGGTCAGTTCAATATTCATGCGTGTGTTTGTGCTGATGATAGAGATCAACAGGCTATAACAGCTGAATTGTTGCTGCTATCATGTATAGATGAGTGATGGCAGTATATTTGGTTTAATCACCTAGCTGCCACTTACATTTAATGAGATGGATTTGTGGTCCTTTAAAATAAGTTGTCATTTTTAATTTCTAACATCGGCTATTTGTAGGCGGACGCCTTATGCAGTGGCCTTGAAACACAAGCACTGGTCGTGTGCATTACTGTTGAATCCATCTGCACCTGAACCTTTGACTTGGCCAGCATCGTTGAAGTTCATCAGCGAGCTTAATCCTGATGCAAAGGCCCTATTAGAAAAAGCTCTAATTGAAGCCAATGAAGCAAGGGAAAAGTTTATTTTGAAGGGGACTCCTTATAAAAATTTTCCAAATTCTGACCCTGTTGGTGATGATGTTGATTCTGAGGTACTGAACCTTTCTGTGAAATTATGAATTTTCATTTTTACAGTTTAACTAAGAATTGCGTGAGATGTCTAGTATAAGTGTCTCATTTGACAGCTGCGGACTTTTAACGCTGTTGTACCAAAATGATCAACTTAAAAACTCATGTGATGTAAAATTAAGAAAGTGATGGCGTCCTGTTTATCAGTGATGTCCACTAGTAAAAAAATCTTTGCAATGCTTGTACACAAACCATGCATTTTTGCTTTGAATTTAATTAACTAAACCAATTGAATCAAGTTGCATGATGTACTTGTTTCTAGTTGTTTCTTTCATCTCGAACATTCTCTGTCTTTCAGGTGGGTGATGCAGATGTGTGCAGTATCTGCTTCGAGCTGGCCTGTACCATTGAGATTCAAGAATGTGGTCACCAGATATGTGCCCATTGCACGCTAGCCTTGTGTTGCTACAAGAAAACAAATCCTTCAACCAGCAATTTTAAAGCACCAGTTTGCCCCTTTTGCCGTAGTAGTATCACTCGGCTAAATGTTGCCCAGAAGATTACAATCAACAGTGATCTGGACCTCGAACAGAGTCCATCACAACCAAGAATATCACAAAAGTCTTTCAACCTCAATGAAGGTAGCTACGATGGTGATCTCGAAGTTGAACACAGTCCATCACAACCAAGACTATCACAAAAGTCATTCAACCTCAATGAAGGTAGCAGTAGCTTCAAAAATCGATCATCTTTGGGTTCACTTGGTAGGATGGCTGGTATCAGTTTTGGAAAGGCTGCTGCAAATTGTGACATTGAATGTGACAAACTGTGACCATCTTCAGGCCTGGTATTTGGCAGTCCGGCTAAGCAACTTTTCATCAATTACTGCGAAATCATATAACGAGTATCGTGAAAGATTCAACAAAGCGGTTTTGGGCATTAAGTACTTCTCCTGATGCAGAAATCTGGACTACATAATATGGATGTGCTTCTCTGAAGTGGCAATATAATGGAATTGGTTACCGCGCTCTGCTGAAAACTAAGTTATCATAACAAATGGGAAGCATAATTTTTAGCATTTATTCCCGAAAGGTTTAAACAAATAGCATATGATGAATATCACATTGTTTGCCTCTTCTTCTAATCGTGTGTCAAGAGAGTTTCCTCGTGTCAGTAAAACTCAAACCAGGCAAATCTATAAGAAAAAAAAGAAAAAGCCAAGGGTTCAGTGTCTTAATCATAATTTATCTACGGCAAAAACGATATATCTTGCTACTCAGAGATTGAAAACCAAAAGACGTTCACGTTAATATGATGTAGCATGGATAGAACACAGAATTTCCTATCTTCTTCCTCTAACATACCCAAAAAAGAATATTGGTGTACCATCTCATGTGGCTTCGGTCTATACTTCTTTGATTAATGAACATCTGCTTCTTGAGTTAACAGTCGTCTTGATCTGTTGATGTTGAGTATGCAAAGGTATACATGATCCTCAACCTCCTCCAGTTGATTGATCACTTCATTTTTGTTGATCCGAAAGTCCTTTAATACCTCTTCCAGCATTTCATTGCTTTTTCTCTTCAAATACAAATCAGCAATAAATTTACTGTGTTCAATCTCATCATGTAACCTAATCATTAGCCGACTCATGGTGTCAAAATCATTCATTAGCAAAAAGATCCCTTTAGCAGCATTGTCAATTTGAGTTTCGAATGTCTCGAGGGTCTTAATCCTAGTTAGCCCTCGTTTCCTTTTCTTGAGCGACTTCAAGAACAAGCCCAGAGAACTTGAAACTAAACCCGGTAACGCCACAATGCCTACTGAACTGTGAATGGTAAGGATTGTCAAGGCAATACTCAACGCAAAACCAACAGCAACTAGTGTAATCCCCGCGATTTTCTTGCAACGTCGCACCAGGATTCTCCTCCTCCGAATATATTTTCCTCGCGAAGTGAATTGTTTTAGTGACCGATGTAGCTTGTCATGAATATCTTGAAAATGCAATTGGCCAATCACCGCTAAGGGATTTTCAAGTAGAGCGAAAGATGTAAGGCTTCCATATAAGTTATCTCGTTGATCATCATCCTCATCATCAGGCATTTCTTTCAATTGCTCCAGTACTTTTCCCATTGCAGTGTAAGTAGCCCTTGTTTGATGAATGCTTTTGAGAATTGTCTCAAATATTTTGCATGCCTCAGAGCTGATTCTGAAGAATGCAGTAATAATGTTGCGAATTTCGGCGTCGGGGACTTTGTGGAGGATATCTGTTAGGGATGATTGACTGGGATCTAGGAGGCCTTGAGATAAATGAAGATCCTGAGGAATAGAATCAGGAGATGATGAAGATAATTTGTTAACTAATGTTTTGGTTTGAATTTTGCTGCACATATCAATGAATGAATTTGTCCTAAAGGCTTCCTTGTATTCTTCATTAACATTGTTTGACTTCCTCCTCAAGCTATCACCATGTTTTTTTCCATGTCTACCTGATAATCAATCCACAAAAGATTATATACCAAAAAAGAAAGCATTGAGTTTCATTGAATGATTGAGTGACTGATGCGACATACATGATCAATCATTTTATGAATTCACTGTCTCTATTGTTGATCGACTTAATGATCAAACTATGAATAACAAAAAAGGGGAAAGAAATGGATAAGAGCTAACCTTGTTTCTTGAAAAGCAAGCTGAACTCAAAGCAGACCATCTTTTTCTTCTGAAAGCAAATGAAGCAAGAAAAGTGAAGTCCAAATGAGGGGACTTTATGGGGGCCAATATATATAGTGTTTTGTGTTTGCAGAAAAAGCTAGGCAGTTACCACCGCCTGAGTTGTTGAGATCATATATGCCTAATTGTAGGGGATTGGAGCTCTCATGACACAAACCACACGCTAACGTGAGCTTCTATATAACGCTCCGTTTCTCTACGTGTCAAACAGCCAGCTATTTACATTTCAAGTTGTGTAGTCAACTTTATACAATTAGTTCATGTGTTTTTACACATTTCCTAATTGGCCATTTAAAATTCTTTTCATGTGTTTAAATTTTGCGGCGAATTATTAAGCTAGTATCGATAGTTTGACCTAACACGAAATACTAGCACGCATCGATTAATCGAAACCATTTAATCTTAATTTCAACATAATGTAATAATGATGATGACGTATCATATAAGACTTTCTTCTTCCTATCAAATATTTCATGATTTTTTTTGAGTTTTATTAGTTAGTTTATTTAATGGCTCTTTTTTTGGGTGGAAGGTAAAAGAGTGACGGAAGTGAATATTGCTTATGAACTTAAAATGCCTAGCTATATTGCCTTCCGGATGGGACAGGTTTTCCTTAACTGATTTAACCAGCTCCAAAATGCTAGCTAAGCTTCTTCCAATTAAGCTCAAAGTTTACAACCATTTTTTAAAACTAATTATGGTTTCACCATACTGCATATGGCACATGCATTCTTTCTGTAAAGAGTAACTGATACAAAGGGCTACTAATTCCTTACTTCACAAGATAATATGGTGGAAGCTTTGAATGGGCTAATGAGATGTAATTCTTTAACAAAGTTTGTGCAAATTCAGACACTTCCCCGACTGTGGAACTAGCTGCTATATGGAGAAGTTATACAAATTCATCCCCCACGAAAAATACAAAACAAGAAAAATGACCAAAAGGTGATAACTGCAAAGAAATAATTGGGTTGGGCCTTTAAATTCTGGACTTTTGATTATGTTGGCCCGCAATGTCAATCACAAAGCGGTACTTGACATCATTTTTTTCCAAGCGCTCAAGAGCTTGATTGATTTGATCAGTCTGAACAACTTCGATGTCACAAAGGATGTTACGTTCTGCACACAGCTCCATCATGTCTTGTGTTTCCTTAATACTTCCGATTATGCTGCCTTTGACCACCCTCTTCCCGAATATCAGTGGGAAAGACGGCAGCTCTATCGGCTTTTCCGGTACATTCACGATCGACAGAATTCCATTCACTTTCAGCAGCTCCAGATATGGTCCCACTGAGTGATTCGCTGGTATGGTGTTTATAATGAAATCCATCGTCCTTTTCCTAGCCTATACATTGCATGCATTAAAAAAAAGGCCAAAAACAACAGTCAAAGATCAAGTATTTTAAGCAGTAAAATGCCCAAAGACAAAAATTTGATGAAGTAATAATGTACTAACTAATGAAAGGTGTCGTGTTTCTCATGTCCTTAGAATCATAGGATTGTTTAATTAGTTTCATTAATGTCATCCGTCGTGTTTCTCAATCAGACGTTCACTAAATTCAACACTCAAAACTTTTAGTTAAACCAAGCAAAATACTCAAACATCACAGTCACTAAAACCAATGAAAGAAAAAGAAAGAACGGAGTCAGCAATGAACTAACCTGCATTTGTGTTAAATCGGTGCTAAGCACGAAATCATCAGCTCCGAATCGTTCTCTGGCCTCTTTTTCTTTGGACGGAGATGTGCTGACGACTGTGACATGGTGACCGAAAGCCTTTGCAAATTTCACAGCCAAATGGCCTAAACCACCCATCCCAAGTACACCAATTCTTTTCCTGGCTGAATCCTTCTCCAACAATCCCTCATCTTTCATTGGGGTGTAAACTGTGATTCCAGCGCATAACAATGGTGCAGCTACCTCCATTGGCAGACCATCCGGTATACTCACCACGTATCTGAATCATAACATAAAATGAATTGAACATTATAAATTATTGGTTCATCTATATATGTGTGGAATTAAAAAGAATGAAGAAACAGAGGAGAATCTGTGGAAGAGAATTCAAAAATCCAACCTTTGATCAGCAACCAGCATCTGGGAGTAGCCACCGTAAGTGATGCTGCCATCCCAGAAGATGCCATTGTAAGTCAGCTGAACCTGATCACAGTAGTTTTCCTGTGAATTCTGGCAGTATTCACATTTCAAGCACGTAGCTGCCAAGCACCCAACTCCTACTCTGTCTCCAATCTTGAATTTGGTCACGTTGCTTCCTACTTTGGTTATTATCCCTGTAATTTCATGCCTGAAAAAAAGCAGGATTTCATTGAGCCCACATCAACTAAAAGTATTAAAAAGACTGTAATAGATGATTATGAGCATAAAGAAACTTACCCGGGGACAACAGGGTACATGGTAATGCCCCATTCATTCTTGACGAAATGTATGTCGGTATGGCACATCCCGCAATATAAGATCTGGATGGTCACATCCTCAATCCCGTTTTCCCTGATCCATTACAGTAGTAACGCAATCAACGAATATAAGATGATATTGACTGCAGGACTAATTTTGCTAGTTCATCAGAAAGGCAAGTCAAATTAAAGTCAGCCAAGCGAAGAATATAGATATGTACCTGCGCTTGAAGACATAGGGAGTGATTTTGCCGGAAGAATCATGAGCTGCCCAGCCTGAAACTGTCTGTGTGTGGTTAGGAGTTGTTTGTGCCATTGGGAGACTTCTTCTGGGAATGAAAAGAAAAGGGAGCTTGGCCTGGTTTTTTTGTTTTCTAAAATGATGGATTTCTTTGCTTCTTCTCTGTTTTGAAGTCTTTCTACACTGCAATACCCAATTGTTGGAATTTATAATTTGAGAATTAGTAAACACGTTCGCAATTTCTCGTGATTTAGTCTCCAGGGGGTGTCACATTGCATGAACCAAATCCATAATTAAATTACTGTTGTAGTAGGCCATGATAAGTAAAATATACTTTTGGCTACTTCTAGTGCGAAAGTGACTTGGACATTAACATTTGTCCTCTTTTCTTTTCGTTTTGTATTAAAAAAACAAATAAAACAATTAATTTTGATCATCTTCTCAATATCTCCAACCAACTTTTACACAAGATTCAGGGCTTTCTTTCATTGATGTGATAGGATTTAACGTTTTTTATCCCCCCCCCCCAAGTAGGAAACCTTGTTAAGAACTGCAGAAAATTAATTACAGTCAACGGTCAATTCAAGATTTCGTAGAAATGCATATGCATTTTCTTCCCAATTACGTTCAGACGAATGTGTTTAAACGATGATGATATTTTCCATTTATTTAGTCAGCTCTATCGAGAATTTCTTGGTAACATCTACTTGAGTTCCTCTCTCGGAGCTTGGTCCCAAATTTTTTTTATTAACTTCAAACTAAATTATTTTATCTTCAATCTCTTTTAACTAAGAATGCATAATGCAAAATCATGTCCTACTCCAAAAATTATCAACAATTTAGACTCTAATTCCAGTGAGTATCCACGTGATTTCGGTGTACTTGCTAATCTGCCGTTGTAGTATGTGACAGAAAAGGTGGAGAACGGATCATCGTTGTATTTAGTATTATTGAGAAATTTATACTCGAACCTGAGTCCTGGTTACCTGCCCAGACTTTTACATGACATTGAGAGCATTACATTCAGGAACGGGTTGTCTAAAACGAAAAACTTTGGAAGACACTGATATATGATGGTGCAATATGCAAGAAATCTCAACTGATATTGACCTCAGAAAGACTGGAAGCCGTTTGAATATGCAAGGAATCTTAACTGAATATCGACCAGAGAACAATCAACTTCTCAGGAAGAATGGGGAAGTAAGGTGGAAAACCAGCGAACAATCTGATTAGGAGAAAGTGATGCACATTAAGGTCATCACTGCACCTACATCGAATACAAAAGTAATCTCACTTGGCGAGAGAATCAGGTCACGCCATGATTCGTGACTCATTTCCCAACCCTCTCAAAAAGAAAAACTCATTTCCCAGAGCCACATGATGCGTTCCTTCAATATAATAAGACACCCACTATTAGCTAAACAGCTGCGTGCTCAGAGGCTCACATGGTTAAGGTTCAGTTGTTTCATCTAAACAATTTTAAAAAACTGGCTTCCTACTTCTCAGTATCAGATGCGATAACACTATCAGTAAAAGTTAAGTACTAACGGACAGTTTTCTCTGTAAAGCAGCAAGGAGGCTCATTCGCTTAGGTTAAACGGAACCTAAACTCCCATAAGGCCATAACTAAATTTTTGCTAGAGTATCTGCAGTATCTGTAGACTATTCCAAAGATTTTATTTTGCACTTTTGTTATCAGCACAAAAAGAAATGACCTGTGAGGCACAATCGAGGATTTTTTAGCATAGCCCCCAATCCCATCTTTGACTAGTGACGCGTCAACCTCGGTTAAACAAAGCAGCTAAGTGCAAAAACCCAAGGGTGCAGTTACACTTCATAACCATTATTTCTAATCCTGGCGATATACATTACGAGCATATGAATAGTTAACCCGCAAGGGAGATCCAGCTGGGCCATTCCTTAGGGAGATTACAAACTGTAGTGACTCAACATTCATCACAGAACATTATCACAAAACAAACGGCACCTACTTTTTATACCATGCGGCTCTATTAAAACAGATCAATTATGTCCAAAGCTGCCAAATTTTTTGCAACTGACAAACGGAAAATGCAAGGTGAAAGAAGATAAACCATAGACAAAAATGAATAACGAGGTTAATCTAAACAAGGGATGGATTCAATACAGATGCTGCAAAGACGATGATTGGGCCTCTGAGAACTGTTAAAAGAAACATGCACCAATTTAGCCCTCAAGGTGAAAGAAGATAAACCATAGACAAAAATGAATAACGAGGTTAATCTAAACAAGGGATGGATTCAATACAGATGCTGCAAAGACGATGATTGGGCCTCTGAGAACTGTTAAAAGAAACGTGCACAGATTTAGCCCCCTTAAGCTGATTGTTCAAACAATTAAATTACTTTAACTTGCTGGTGAAAATGTACAAAGCTATCACAGTAGGTCCCTTGCTACTGGCTTCCTTGACTTAATAAGAATAAATCAATTGGGATCACATATATGTTTGTTCAAGTAAATCATTTTGTAAGAATGATGGCATGCCATGCTATAAAAACCTGTATAGTTAACAAGTCTATGCGACCTGTTGGATCCTAAGTCCTAACTGAACAATAGAATCAGTTGCCATAATCTCACCTCAATGTTGAAGCTTAAGTAAGGAAAATGTACATTTATGATGTCTGAAAACCTCTTCTCGTTTCAGGTACAAACAACACTTTTCAGATTGAACTCCAAACTCTATCTATTGCTGGGCACGGTTACCACCAGGACGATATTCTCCAATACCTAGAAGATCCTGCAAAGTTTCAGAGCTTAGGATTTACTCACAACATTATAGATCATTACAAATAAATGGCTCTCTTCAGGAGAATGGCAACCGAGTAACCCATATAAACCTTAGATACAGTTTGCAGGTCTACCCCCCGGGACAAAAAAAAAATCATTTATTAGTTGACTGAAGAATAGTTTTTCCAGAAATGCAAGCATAGGCGAGTAAGTGACAGCTTCAATTAATTTTTGAAGCTCAAGGGCAAGTAACCTTCACCCCTATGAAAACAAGGAAATCAGCAACAAGTCCTCCCGGATTCACCTCACCATTAACTATGGAAAGATGAAGCTCACATACTGTAGTTTCACAACCGGCTATTCCAAGCTTTACTTGTTTTTGGCAAAAGTATCTTTTTGTTGAAGCTCAAAACATGAGAGCTAACTAATATAGTCCATATGTATAAACCATACTACTTGCTATGTTTCTCTATGTGAAGGTATTTCTCATTACTGATGTGAGAGAAGCATTGGTTAATGAATACGCTAATCCACGTATGGATGCAAGTCTTCGTATAATTTGTGACCTCTGCTGACTGATGCAGCAAAAAGCACCATGGGGTTCTAGATGTATGTGGGTATAAGCAGAACTTGAGTTAGAAAGGCAGTAATATGGCTCGCTAGTCAATCAGAAATGTAAAAAGGCTAGAGTTAAAAATAATAATGAAATAGTATGAGATAGGCAATATAACAATTAATATGGATCATCGTATTTTGTGCCACCGCAGACAGCACAAAACTTCGAATAATAGAGATTATACCTGACATGCTTTATTTTTAGCCCTAGTTTCAGCCGTGCTTGGAATATCATGGTTTGGTTTCATAAACTTTTTTTCTCGCTTCTCACATGAGCCCCATCCATCTGAATATCTACCACCTCTACATACAAGAACAAATCAAAAAATGTATTCATTTATAAAAAACAGTAAAATGTAAACTAGAAACAAATTTTGAATCATCAAGGCCAATTAACATACTGCATATAAGCCCGAACTATAAACTCTGCTCGCTGAACATTGCGATGTTCATCAAATTCAATTGTCTTATCCTTAATTTCAAAAGATAGGTTGAAGTAAAATGCTATCTTCCTCCAGCCTACAACAGAAATAAGCAAAGAGAAAACCCCCATTAAGCAACTTGCAATATCTACTATGTATGAAAGAAATTAACAAAAGGCGTATGAACATGCCTGTTTTCTTAATGAAAGGGTGTCCAGATATCATGGTGTAGTCACTTTTCTCGAGAATCTGTACAGAATGTAACAATCCTCAACTCCTACTATAAGCCAAATATGCATAATAACTTCAAAAACTAGTCATATGCTTACTAACAAGGAGCATGGTAGCGATATTTAACATGAGTATACAAAAGAAAAAGGAACAAAAAAAAAACCAGAGAGAATGGCGAAGGTTTTGCTTCTATCTTAGTTTACCAATATTCACATCCTAAAGTTTTATGGAAGTTTGCAGCTAACAGTGACTTGAAAGTTGAAAAGCATTACTTGAATAAGAGAAATATATAAACTGTTGAAGTGTCAAGCCCTTAAAGTCCAGAAAAAATTCATGCAACAAAAAGAGTTCTTCTATTCAGGGATGCAAATACACTTCCCAAAATGTAAATGCAATCCATCAAGTTGGAGAAGTACTAAAAACCATGAAGCACACAGACCAAAACTCCAGTGTTGCGTGATCTTCTAGAGTCAAAATAAATATGCCTAGATGAGATAATACCTAGATGGGTGAGAGAGATGTAAACTAGTGACCTTACGTCTGTTGAGGTGATGAAGGGAAGATCCTATGTGTAATGGCAAGAACAGCTAAATGTAACAATCCTGGCTAAATGAAAGAGTTCCAAATTCATAGCTGAGTCACAGTCAACCATCTATCATGTTCCAACCCCTTTTTACATTTGATTCCCTCCTAAGAGTTTATGAATTCGGAAAAATGCCAGAAGATATAGCCTAAAAATCTGGAGAAAAACGCATATCAGTACTCTATATCAGAGAGTAGTTAACATAAGGAACACTGATCATAACCAGTTATATATCGCGATTCATTACATATCAGGTTGAGAACACTTGTTTGGTGAAAAAGATTGGACAACTGTTTCATTCTTTCTTTCTTACAAATTAATTGTTGATTACTTTTTGAGAAATCGAATATGTAGTAAACAAATCCGATAGTCTAAAGTAAGGAAGGTCGTGTACGCATAAGCTCAAGACTTAAGGAGTAAAAACCACTAGCATAACTTGAGGTACAATATACAGAACATATACAGAAACAATGCTGAGTAAATTAAGTTTAGGACGAATAATGAGTTAATTTACCGCCATAGCTGCATCCTGATACTCTTTAAACAGAGAAACCGTCGGAAATCGACCAGATAAGCTATGCCGCATCACCGTATCTTCGTGATTAGTTGGGGTGGCAACTGGTGAATGATACGGTTCATTAGGATTACTGGTGACTGCAGAAACATCTAAAGTTGCCGCCTCCGGAGAGTGAAATGCTGGCGGCGTTGCAGGCGAGCGGTGAACGTGCTTCACCACAGCCATGGTTTGCGGACTCCTCTCAATTACCTCCGACGAATTAGACATGGCGATTTTGTGTGGCCGGTGGTTCTGATCTTGAGCCCAAGGTTCTTGCAAAACCTCTCCGTCGGGGTAATTGCGTTGGATTCTTGGGGTTTTGTATGCTCTAATTTGAGGAGAAAGATTCGTGATGGTCGGAATTGGCGAAGCATGTTTGAGGGGTATAAACCTTCGAGGTTTAGCAGTGGCGGAGGAGGCGGAGAGAGAAGCGGCGGCGGCGGCGGCGGCTGAGTCGATGACGGCCCATAGAGCGGCGTCGTCGAGGTCTTTGTCGGCTTCGAAAGCGGAGAACGGCGACGTCATCACCACCTAATAGAGCTGAATTTCATTTCTCTGTTATTGAATCTGGCAAAAACGGTGGCAGGGGGGACTCCGGGGAGCGAATGAATGGAGATCGGTGAAGAAATAATCGCGGAGGAGGAATGTCTGATTCACACACGCTGTGGGAGTGTGGTCCCCTACACACTGGTACTAAACCCGCCAAATAAGATTTTGAAAGTTTTGTTAAGCACGACTTCTGACTGATTGCGCATTGCTAAATTCAAGAAATTTGGAATAACAACTTCAATACAGAATTATTTCTACAATAGTAGTACTAGTACTGTATAAATAAATATTTCTGAACCAGGAACAAAATTATTAAAATAAAAATATCATAATAGTCTGATTTGATTGGATTGAATTTGAGACATGTTTCCATAATTATGCACTACTCTCTCTCCGTTCTGAAAAACAAACTAATTTGTAAATGATAAAATTAAATTGGATGGATAAAATGCCAAAATGTCTATTTATTAATTAAATATAATAGTAATTTTTAGACGATATGTATCTCATAAAAACAATTTTAACATCAATAATTCTGAAATTCTACTCTCTTTTTTTTTGACTTTTTAAGTTTTCAAGAGTGATCATGTTTTTTTAATTTTACTCCATTTCTTATGTACTTGAAGTATTCCATTTCACATAGATGTTCTCCTTTGATCATTTCCGTAACCCCGATAAACTCAAATCTCTTTTTTTTTTCTTTTTTTTTGTGTGTGTGTGTGTGTGTGTGTCATGGAGCAATTCCTATTTGTTCCACTTAACAGAATAGTTTCCATTCAAGATCAACTGATGTGTCTAGTACTCTTCCTCTTGAAATAATTCTCATCTCCTAACTTTTCACTTTTATTAGTACTTTTTATAACTTTGAATAGAACATTATGTTGCACAGTCTTCGCACGAATACCGCCTATATTTCACTTCCTCTCTTTTTATGTACATTTACACTAATTGCACCTATTGCATTATGTCTATTATTAGTATTTTTTTAAATAAAATAACAAGTCTAAATTATTGATTAGCGGATTCCTAAATTATAACGCGATCTATATTGTTGATGTACATGCGAATAGTGAAGTCATTGACATGTGTCAGCTATCGCATTACACATCTGTATATAATCACATGATCTTCAAGTGTTTCTGCATAATCATACGCGTGAACGGCGAGTGATTCGGCTATATGTAATTATACACAGACCAAAATATATAGGTACAAAATTGAATGTAGAAGATATTTTTTGCACATTTTAAGTAGCATGTGATTTTACTCAATCTGTGAGAGACATTGTGGCCATTTTCGCAAACGCGGTCTCCCCCCGTTGTTTCTTCGGCTGAATTAATCCAATACACCCATTTCATTTGAGGATTTTGAGTATTAAGGTTCCTCTCACTCTCAGTCTCTGCAATGATTTTCACTTTATTCTCCATGGATCTATTTTCTTATTTATTCATTTTATTTTTGTTTTAGCTAATGGATAGCAACAATCTGAGGGCGGCTCAAGGTCAAACTAATCCAGTTCCTCCTCGTCAGAGTCACGTTATCAGTGCAGGAGAAGCATCGGCGGTTACAAACGTCCTTTTCCCGACGGCTATGGACGGCGCCGGCGATTGGAAGACTGAGGTTCAAGCTGATTCTCGTCGGAGGATTATCAACAAAATGTGATTTTCTACCTAATTATCTCTCTTACTTTTTTCCTTAGATATTTAATACTTCCTCAATTCTAAAATAATCCTCCTATTTAAATTTTTATTTGTAATGTAAATTATATTCAAACTGTAAATTCAAATACAATCATTTTCGGACATGCTGAATATTTCTATTTTCTTCTTATCACAATGTGTACGATCGAATGGTTTACTCTTCTGGAGTTAGTTGAATCACTTCAACCCAAGGTTTTGTTTTTTTTTTTTTTGTTGAATCGCTTCTGTCGATCACACATCATTGATTTGTTTAATGCGCATCCCCCAACCAAAAAAAAAAAACTAATTATCATCATCAATTTAACAATACAAAAGCCATAAAATGATGGTTTTAGGGTTTTTTTTTTTTTTTTGGTTGTTTTGGTTGTGTCAAAAGATGGATTTTGTCTTTTAATCTTTTTTGTGATTAAAGTTGGGTCCAAATTAATCAAACTCCTAAGTTTGTACATGCATCCTTGGAAGTAATTTGTCCAACTGAATTTTGCTATTGTACTGCAACAATATTTGTTGGTCAAAGATTTAACTGGATTATTATACCGTATAGGGTGGACAAAGTGATCAGAATGTCTCTAAAGAAATATTATGATCTAATAATGTCCAAGAAGAATTGCAAGAGCTCGAGAGAACCGTCACAAGGTTTGAAGAAATGGTGTAAAATGTTGCAACAAGCACGGTACGTTAAGCACAGCCTTCGCGCGCGTTTATGAAGGCACTGTGTGTGGTCCTTTTATTTGTTCAACTTTCTTCTGTGTTGTACTTTGAAATGGGATGTTAAACTTCATTCCGTCCTATCCAGTTTGGCATCTGGGAAATTCCAGGTCGTGGCTGAATTTGTACTATGAATTTAATTAAAAAAAAAGAAATAATTTTGGAATAGAGAGTAGTACTTTGTTTTTAGTCGGTCACACAATTAGTGTGCTAGTTTAGCTAGATTAGGTCTTTTTACTACTTTCCTCATTTTCTCTCCTTTATATTGAAATTAAAATTTTAAATCTTCTTTTAAAAAACACACACACACACGGAGACGCACACGCACACAACAAAACACTTGGAAGATCAGACCAAACAGACTAAGTCCTGAAATTCCCCGCAGGCCGCAGGCGCTAACCCGCTGAATCCGTGATGATGATGATGATCTCCATCACCTGACCCCCGGAATAAATCAAACTTCTTTACCGGTCACTTTGTGGTCTTCTTCTTCTATACTCCTATATACATAATATCTGGTGCCGCTGATTTTCGCACAAGCCGTAGAGTGCAGAATCGGATGCAAATCATTTTCTAATTTGTGAGTCCTCGTGTAATCATCTTCTAACCGGATGCATGCAGATCATCTCCAACTATTTCTTTTCTCCAATGTTAAAATTTCTTGTTAATGTACCTTCATTGCAAAACCTCAAAATCCAGTTCATTCGAATTTTTAGTGTCCTCTGAGTTTTGGTTCCTTTCTGAAAACGAATTTTACTCTTCTCATTTCGTTGATTTATTTCTTTGTTATTTTTATTGTTTTATGTCCTCTGAGTTATTGAATTGAAAAGTTTGTAACAATCGGGTTTGTCTAGCTTATGGATAGCAACAATTTCTGGACGGCACCAGGTCCTGCCCTGAGTACAATCAGCGGTGGAGGAGCAATACCGGCAGTCACGCACATTGGTTATCCGGCGGCTATGGATTGGAGGACTCATCTTCAAGCTGATTTTCGTCAAAGGGTTCTAAATAAAATGTAATTCCCTTCCGGATTTTCTTTTATGTTTTGTGCTATGAATTTGTTCTTTTTTTTTTTTTTCAATCTGTTTGTTTCAAGAGATGGCCTGGTGAATGTTTGAGGCTTTTTCTTGAGTTTTGGCGCTTCACCTAGAATATCCCATAACTGTTAGAGAATCTCTTAAAACAACCCTACACAAGCACGGCTAGATGTTTTACGGCTGAATGGCAAGAAAGGTGATCTTGTATGTTAGAGATTCTTTTTTCTCCAACCCGAAGAAGTGCCGGCTTAGTTTTACTTTTATGCCAATTTTGATAAAAAGAAGCAACCAGTTGGGACTGTTGCATAATTTGGGGATGATGAAGTTTTCTTATAGCATTTTGTCAATCAGTGCATTGTTCTTCCTTTGTACTCCCTTTGCCCTAAAATTATTGTCCAGTTTGATATTTCACTTTTAGTATAATTTGAACTAAAAATGAAAACTCAAACTGGACAATAATTATGGGACGGGGAGTAATAAAATAGGTGACCATCTACGAACTTCCAGGTTATTCAGAAGCATTTTAGGTACAAATTGTTAATTAGCTTCGATTCTTTTGGCTTATAGATTCCTTTACGTATAACTTCTCCATAAGTTTGATCAATCTTTTCACTCACCTCATAACCTTTCCCCATCTAATAGACATCAAAGATATCAGATGTGATATGATCTTCGATGGTAAAACATGCTACACTGGTGAAGGAACTTATATCTTATGAGGAGTATTCAATTAAACACCAAAGCAAGTAGAAAGAGACTTCATCCTGGTTTTATCTGGGTTTCAGCTTTGGATTATGCAAGCAAATCCCATTTGGACGGGTTAGGTCATAGGTGAATGTATCTTTTCATTTTTAAGAAAAATGAACTATGCGACTCTCCTTATTCAATCTGTAGGAATGTACTCAACACAAGGGAATGAATGGTTTACTCTTACTGGTTAGTTGATGCTGTGATATGTTTGTTTCATAAGGTGGGTTTTATCTTTACTCTTTGGGGATGGAGTTCGGGTAGAATTTCTAATACATTGGTTTCAATAGACTTTTTCAGTTTGCATCGTCATATGCAACTGAAAAGTAACTTGCCCAGCTGAATGTTTCTTGATGAAATGTTTGATTGCCAGTGGGTTAATTGTGATTATGTATTTGTAACATCATCGTTCAGATTTGACTCTTTAATAAGGCATCTTCCTTTCCAAGGACAAGAAGGAATGGAAGAGCTAAAGGAAATTGCTATTAGGTTCGAAGAAAAGATATATTCTACTGCTACAAGCCAGGTATGTTATGCAAAGCAATCATGTGTTAACGAATCCAGTCTTGAATTGATCACTTGAATCTTTTTTTCTGCTTATCTAAACCAACAGTTTGGTTGTCTTTGTGCATTGTAAAAAGATTAATTGTTTCTCATGGCTTGGTTGTCTGGCTGGATGTCATATATTAATTGCAGTCAGATTATATGAGGGAGATATCTTTGAAGATGCTGAGTATGGAAAAGGAAAACATGACGTCAAAATTTCCCATGGTTAATACTATGCAATCTACAGCTCAAGGCCAGATGCCTCCAGGTCCTAGTGAGGATCAAGTAATCAATGGAGGAGCAATGGTCACGAACATCGCTCCTCAGGCGGTTTTGGATGCCCAAGATTGGAAGACTCAACTTCAAGCTGATTCTCGTGAGAGGATTAGAAATAAAATGTAATTCCCTCCCCATTTTTTCTTTTTTTATTATGTGCACTAGTTTAATTTCATTTTTTTTCCCCCAAATTCGGTTCCCTGTGAATGTTTGAGGCTTTTAAGTTTATTTATTTATTTTTTGGTTATTATTGTTTACAGGCAGTCTTAGGATACGTCAATATTTTTTGAGTTTTGGTCTTTTGCCTAGAATAATCCTAAGCAGGGGTCTGGCTTCATGTTTTATTGCGAAGGGCATGAATGATGATCTTGTTTGTTAGATATTCTTTGGCATCAAGATATATCATCCTGTAAAACTAGTTTTTCTTGCATTCTTGTGGTATGCAGCTGAGAAGCAACTTGCCCATCTGAATATATCTTGATGACATGTTTATACAATGATATATCTGTACTCTCATCCTTCAGATTGTGCACTTTAATGAGGGATCTATCTTTAAGTGGACAAGGAGTAGAAGAGGTTGATAAAATTGTTATGGAATTCCAGGAAAAGATGTATTCTGTTGCAACCAGCCAGGTATGATTGCCAAAGCCATTACGCATCAATGAATGCAATCTTGAACTATTGTTTTTTTTTTTTTGAGCCAATAGTTCCGGTTGTCTTTGTGCATTGCGAAAAGATTAATGGTTTTCTCGTTTTGGTTGTTTGGCTGGATGCCATGTGTTCTACTGCAGTCAGATTATCTGAGGAAGATATCTCTAAAATTGCTAAGTGTTACAAAGTCCCAAATTCCAGGCAATTATGGTAAAACTTGTGCGGATGAAGGTATTGCTATTGTTTTCCATGGTCTTGAAGCTGTCATGGTGATACTCTATCTGACCATAATTGGGGGTTTATGTCATTTACTACTACGCACTCTCTCCATTCCAAAATTATTATTCAGTTTGAATTTTCATTTTTAAAATAATTTTTAGTTGAAAACTTAATCTAGACAATAATTTTGGAATGGAAGAAATACAACTTATTGTTTGTCATTTATGGTGTAAAAATTTGTATTGCTAGCAGCTGGAAAGTTTTGTCATTTGCTATCATTCGCTTTAGATCTAATCCTTGTTATTTGTTGCAGTTGCCGAAATTGAGCAGTGATTAGCTGGCTTAGAAATAGGACGGAATTGAACAAGGAAAATAGGCCGACAATGAAGCAGATTAATTAATAAAGGCATAGATGTTCGATGAGGGCTCAATCCAAATCCAATATGCAATTACTTACCCAGAAATGGTATTGCATTGCTTTTTTTTTCCCCTTAAATTAGATGCCCAAACGAGAATCGAACACTCGATTTCCTGGTAATGATCACCCCACTCAATCCTCCCACACTGTGGTATTGAATTGTTTTTTTTATTTTCTTTTCCTTTTTTTTGTAATAAATATAAACTCCTTACTTTTATATATGTTAGCATTTTTTTGGTTCATTTGTTTACCTCACATTCTTAAAAGGAATAAGAACAATTATCCTTTTGAGTTTTGTCCCAAACTCTAAAACCCTCTTGAGTTTTTATGAAAGAACAATTACCCCCGAGTTATGTCCATAAGATCATTACATCCTTTTGATACATGAAAAGACTATATACCCTCAATACGCTTGGGGCCCAATTTTTTTTAAAAAAATTTGTTGCTTTTATTTAGTTTAATTATTATTAGTCCAATTTTTTTTTTCTAATTTTTTTCTACTTTATTTAGTTTGATTTTTTTTGGTTCAATTTTTCTCTCTTTTTTATTATCTATTAATTAATTCCCGTTGAGAGATATATAGAGTTCAAAACAAAATGAGAAAAAAACAATAACATAATGCAATTTTACAAATTTGGATTAAATTTAGACAAAACGAAATGTATTTTCTATTTATTTTTGGATTAAAAGATAAAAAAAATCTTAAAATGAAGAAAAACTAAACTAAAATAATTAAACTAAATAAAGTAGAAAAAAATTAAAAAAGAAAGAAAAACGGAACTAAAAATAATCAAACTAAATAAAGTAAAAAAATTAAAAAAAAAGAAAGAAAAAATAAACTAAACATAATTAAATTAAATAAGATACAAAAAAAAATTTAAAAACTGGAAAAAAATAGGCCCCACAAGTGTTGAGGATATTATAGTCTTTTTATGTGTCAAAGGAGGTGTAATGGTCTTATGGACATAACTTAGGAGGGTAATTGTCATTTGATAAAAACTCATAGAGGTTTTAAAGTTTGGGACAAAACTGTTGTTAAAAAGTTTGCCGGCCACATTTCTAAAAGCAACCTCAGCTGTGAAAGCAAAAAATAAAGATAAGGTAGATACAAACTGTTTTTCCTCATACTCTTGCGAAGTCATAAAATTCAACGCCGTAAAGTGGTTATAGATTATGGCGTTGCGGATAATCCAAAAAAAAAAAAGGTGTTTCGGATGATCCAACTAGTTGATCAAATATGTTCAAAACCCAAATGCAATATATTTTTATTTCTTTACAATTTGGTACAATACAAAAGAACACCAAAGCATTTTTTATCACGTGAAGCATGAAAGTTGTTCGAAATAGGCATATATCCCTTTTACTCTATTAAAGCAGAATACATGATGTTGATGTGGTAACTTTTTATTAAAAATTTTTGGCTCCAAATACACTATATTGCATTAACCATTCTGCCACGTGTCATCCATTTTTAAAAGAAAACAAAATTCTTATCCGGAGAAATAAAAGTTACTTTACAAAAATAACTACACAATTTTAACTGTTAACATTTATCATTTATCAATCAAATTAAAATAGCATTTAAATTTGCCCATAAACGTATCCCCTTTATTACTCCACATTTTTTTGTATGATTCCTGAATCGTTGTACTTTTCAATATTTTTTCTCCTTTGGCAGATGATTTTTTTTTTTATTTTTATTTTTGGCTAAAAAGGAGAAAAAACCAAATGTATAGCTATTTTATTTTTCCAAATCAAGATTTTATTTATCTATTAACACAAAATTAAAATAGAGGGGCGTCCGGGCAGAGCCCCGGCCAAGCATCTAGTTGCATTTAAAATGTAGGGAAAATGGGTCTTTTCATCCTAAAGTTTGGGCCACACCATCCAAAGTATCCCAAAATTTAAGAACATGCCATTTACATCCCAAATTTTTTAAAAACATGTTACATTAGGATATTCGTTAAATTTTTAACTCTAATTAATTAAATTAGTGGTGGTACTTTATTATGTTTCTCCTCCCCCAATTCTTTTAATCATTTAACACGTTTCACTAACTCCCACCTTATAAGAAAATAGCTAAACCTAATTTGGTCTTCACATCATCCATTCCTCCCTTAGAAAAAGAAAAAAAAAAATCCAAGATTCACCTTCTAGATTGATAACAATCATGAGAGGTTTTGTGTGTGTCCTAATTAGAAAGTAAGCCATATTCATTTATTTTTTTAAATATGTAGCATTATTATAAAAATTGGTGTTATAATTGATGCAGGGGCATGCAATTTTTTTGCTTGGCATGGACCAAATTTACCAAACGCAAGTATGAAACTTTTTTGACTAAAAAAAATGGGGGAAAAGAAATTGAATGAAATATCGCCGTTAATAACTTGAAAAATTTAACAAATGTCCTAATATTACATATTTTTGAAAAGTTTGGGATGAAAATGGCATACTTTTAAACTTTGAGATATTTTAGATGGTGTGGCTCAAACCTTGGGATGGAAAAGCCCATTCTCCCTAAAATGTAATACGTATTAGACTATTTTAAAAAAATTAAAGGAACCAATAAGAAAGCGACGAAAATCCAGTGCAGAGTAAGCTTCCCCATGAAGGCAATTAAAGTGTGACAGGGTAACTACAACCGGTTTGAAAATGCGGGTAAAATCATCTGGACTCTTTTCGGCCTCCGTAGAAACAGGACTCCTAGTCTTTACTGAGATCGACGGCGTCGTTTCTGTCTTCCTCTTTCTTCACCTCTGATATTCCGGCCGTTGAACCCCCAGCTAAAGCACTGAACCTCTGATGATGATCTCCGCCACCTGACCACCGGAATAGATCAAACTCCTGGACCGCGCACTTTGTCGCCTTCTTTATCTCTGCTCCGTGGTGTTTCTTCCGGTTGCCGCTGATTTTCTCACGAGCTGTAGAGAGAAGAACCGGATGCAGGTAATCTTCTAATTTGCGAATTCTCGTCTCTTGCGTTTTCTTCATCATCAACGCAGTTGAATTCACGGTGAATTTGGAGGAAATTTGGCTGTTGATCCTACCGCTCCTGTTCATTCCACACCGAAATCACAAAGATCTCGTTACATTTCTTAGGAAAAAGCTAAATTCAAAACAAGCTTCGAGAATGGGGATCCTCAAAAACTCGAGAAATAAGATAATCTCAGTAAGTTACGTACCATGGTTGAGATTGCAGAGAAGGCCGGATCAGGCGTTTCTGTATGTTTTCTATGGTTGCCATTGAAGTCGAAGTTTCAGCTTCTCTGCTTTTTTCCATTCTTTATTCACGAATCTATTTTCTGCTACTAATTGCAGAGAATTCAGGTCTTTTGGTGTGCTTTTGGGGAGATTGACCAAAACGAATATAAAGGATGAAGGAGAAAAATAGAGCAAAAAAAGTCACTAATTAGCAGAGGTCTCTTCTTTTTTTTTTTCCCTCTTAACGTCAGATTGTGTGGTGCAGAAGATTAATAGTCATGAAAATCCTGCTATTAGACTATTAGTATAATGACAGCTACTTAGTGTCCTAACAATGAGAAAAGCAGAATAAAAATTGGCTTGTATTTGAGACAATTTCTGAAATAGGAAGTGCAATTCAAGAAGGTAGGTAGGTTTATGCAAGCACAGGGATGTTACTGATTAATGAACAGCAGAAGAAGCTCTTTACAAATCGTGATGCTATCGAGTAATAATAACAAGTGAAAAAGACCATGAGAAAATTGAATTGGAATACCTAGTTTGTAAACAGTTTCTTCTGTTTTGATTCTCCTAATTGTGCTATTTCATCCTAAAAAAAAAAAGAATTTACATAGCCAGTGTGGCCATTAACAGCAACAGTGCTGTCAAGAAGTTTGGTCCTGTGTCCTTGAACTTGTAAGCAGAAGAGGAAATGTCATGGGTGTTTACAGAATTCACATTTCCTGAAATTTGGTCTTTCACTTTGATGCTGGAAGAGCAATTGTATGTTGTCCATCCAATGGTTTGATTTTCAAGGTCATACACGACAAGCTTGTTTGATAACATGACATCACCAAGCAAGATCAAATCCTCTCCATCATCTGTCTGCATTCCACCCCTCTGAAACCCGAAACACCATTCATTGTCGCGAAGATGGAGGAGATATTCGCGAGGAGAAACTTCCATGGCGAGAGAATTGTCGAAATGGAAAGTTATAGGTGGGAAGCCATCTTCAATCTTGCCATTGAAGAAGAAGCATTTCAGCTCAGGATCAACTATATGAGTCTTCAAATTCGCCTGGCGGGCAGTCACCTTGGTCATGATCAAGTCATAGATGTCGCCTGGTATATGCGCCAATGTTGCGCCGCTGTCAATCACTGTTTTCCTTCCCAAGTCGAAGAAACTCTGAGTTGGGAGATCGAACACGTCGCCCTCTACTTCGGCTTTCTCCATAATGACATTGTAATGTGAAATGTCATCCAGCAACGGCGTGGTGTTGAATTTCGGATCCATGACTTGTCCGATGGCGAATATCCCGCCTCCATTGATGTTATCCAAACAATGCGAAAATGTTTTCTTAACTTTCCCGGATTTAGCTAGTTGAGAGATGATGGAAGCATTCCCTTGACCAAAACCAACTATTCCGCTCACCCTGTCCGTGGCGGTACCCGATGTTCCGGATTGTTTCTGCGAGCAACCAAATGAAACGTCCCCGGTTGTCGAATTGGTTTGAAGGTTTCCGGAGACCTGATTGAATTGGACGGAATCGGTGACGAAGAACCCTGTCATTGTGCTTCCATCAGCATAACTTATGGAATAATCACAGGGCTTTGCTTTGCAAGCAGAGGCTTCCGTGTTGTAAATCGCATTGCAGATTTCTTGATCGCAAGTCACCTGTTTTCCCGTGCTGGAGGCCTTCATGTCATACAGGCTTAACTCCAATCCGAGATCGCTTTTCTTCGGACATTCTACACAATCTACGCAATTCACCCATAAAATGTCGCTTCCTGTATCCACCTGAACATGGAAATCTTTCGCCGGAGTTCCAATTGAAAGTTTGGTGTAATATAGGCCGGACCCGGTGACTTTGCCATCTCCGCCCAAAGGGAGATCTAGGGCGGCGAGTTTTCTTTGGTGGCGTCGTGCATCGTGAAGTTTGAACGCCTTCAATGTTGATCGATTGGCTTTCCCACGGCCACCGTACCGGTGCTGAACGTTAAACACTAGGTTATCTGTCGCCGCGCCGGTGTAAAAAAGCAATACCACAACCAACCCCAATAGCCCATTTCTTCCCATATCTAATGTTCGAAGAATCATGCGTATTTTGCAGCGCAAAAAAATTATATCCAAGGTTGAACTTTTGAGGAGAAAAGAAGAAGAAAATGATGTGAATTTGCCAAATGGATGGCAGTCAAATTGGGGAGAAATATGAGATAAAATTTTATTTTTATTATAAAAAAAAAGGGTTGAGTATTTCTAGATAGTAGATAAAGCTCATGAATTGGCCATTGCCGGCGTTAATTACTTAATTTGGTTCAATTCGAGAAAGATTTAAACAAATCAATTGTGAAACTTCAGGGTTCATGCATAATATGTCTATAACCTGAGTTGCAGACTGAACAACTAAGCTTGATGGTGGATTACGGTTAAACAAAAAAGGCAAAGGCATTCACTTTCCAGTTGGTTTCATATCTTTTGACTTTATCAGAGGGATGAATTGTGTTTAGAAAAAGGGAAGTTGTCCGATAAATCATGAAAAAAAAAAAAGGAAGAAAAGATTAAAGCAAAATGGGCTATGAAAACGTTGATCCTTTCTAGATAGTATCACAGCTGTTAAATTGTTTCCAGTTTAGCAGATTTCCAGCCACAATAAACTAACAGAATGTTTGTCAACCTTAATCTTGGGTAAAAAGAGATTTTGTTTGTTGATATTTTTAGGGGGTCGCTGTGGCCTTGTATAGAAGTAGGAGTTTTCTTTTCTCCTTATTTGAAAAAGGGCAGCAGGATAATATTTTTGTTCAATATCTAAACATGATGGTAAAAAACCGCAGATGGCGACTGTTTTTGATGCAGTCATGTTCTTCAAGAAATTCAGAGCTTGTTGCTCCAAAATATAAACAAAACTTTACTCCATAAGAATACAGGAATCTGGACAAAATTTACAGTGTAAAATGTGTTCATATAAAGAATCTACCCTAAGCAATGACCTCTATAGTGCTGCTGTGTTATGTTTAGGTGGAAGTAGAAACCTGATGTTTCTTTTATCTACACTCGGGCCTGATTATCGCTATGACCTAAACAAGCTTGTCATGATTGTTTGATCCGTTTCATGGACGAAAACATGTCAAGAAGACAAGAACTTATCTCAAATGTACAAAAGAAAAACTAAAAACATCTCATGTGAGATCCCTGAACAGATTAGTCTGACGACCAACTTTGAAAGGCAGACCAAAATTTTGATACACCCGAATCTCACCCCCTAGAGTTGCAGCCACAATTACACTTCCCCAGGCTGTTGCTTGAACAGTTTGACCTCCATGACTACTTCCACCATCAAAGAAAGACAAAGAGGATGACCAAGACTGAGAATGGTAATTGCTAGAAGTCGAAACAGAAGGCGAATCATTATACCCCATTGAATGAGAAGCAGATCCGAAGGATTCACTAACACCAATTCCTGGATCAATGCGAGGGGAACTATTACCAGGATCCTCCTCAATAATACTTGAGATGGCGTCAGGTGCCCTGTTGCTCTTCTTGGGAAGTGGCGGCAAATGCCTCCTGCTGTTTCCATTTGCATTAGCATCTTCATGTTTAGGAGAGCCACCTGATGATTGTGACACTAATGGGCTGCTGCGTTTGGAATGCCTTTTGGAATGCATTTCGACTACCGGAGGATCCTGCTTTAAGGAACCAGGCCATGGGATTGCGACTGAAACATCTCTACATTGGAAGTGTTCATGAGATTGTGTAGTGACCCGACTCTTGCCTTTTCCACTAGAATTGCCGCGCCTCCATATAAATACCTGATTATCTTCGCTTGCACTGATTATATATTTTCCATCAGGACTGAATATAGCAGAAATCTGGCTACTTGTATTCCTGAAACCTGAAGTAGGAAACACTGACTGTTATCCTGGTTCATAGGCATTTCACTACTGATAACAAAGAGTACTTAAGAACAACTACCTCTGAATTTATGTATTACTTCTGATCCATCCAAGATACGAATCCGAGAATCAGCAGAGGTGACGAGTATTTCAGAAGAATTCCATGGTGCAAACTGTCAAAAAACATAATCTTAGTATCGACGTCACCTTTCACGGTTATAGTCTTTGGACCAACAAAGAACTGTATCCTGGTTAGCTTTAAAATAGTACCTGAAGACCTGTGACCTTTTTAGCTTGTGACTTTTTCTTATTCTGGAACTCGATGACTTCCTTTTGCTCCAACTTATAATCTGATTAGAAAACAAGAAAGCCATAAACATTTATTATATACGTCGATTATGTAGCGGCAGAGTAGATAAACAAATTTTTTGGATGGTTCTTACCGTCAAGTGTATATTTTCTACAGCTTCCTTTGTGCGAACCAATTATTGCGCCCTTTGGCAGTCAATTTAAGGCCAGTAATTAGCTTCAGATCACAGTATACAATGATCGCAAAAGCTCAAAATGATACTCCATTAAATATGTATCAGAATTGAAAGTGCATACTGAGATGTTCCATCTTAGAATGCTGAATAAGGAAAAAAGCAACATAGTACTAAACCAAGAGCAGAGAGGAAACTTTTCCAAGTCGATACCTGGCCATCAGGAGTATAGCAAGCTGCAGTAACCATTTCATGAACGTCAGTCCAGTCTACCACGTAGCGATCAGGTATGTTCCAAATACGCACCTTCGCATCCAGTGAACCGCTGATAAAGTAATTGTCATCCACTGGATTGAAGTCTATGCAAGTAACTGTATGCCATACATTTTCGAAAAGCAAAGAAATATTGGTAAGAAACTGTCAAGCAATAGAAGTGTCCTTGTTGTTCATAAATTGGGTAGGTAAAAAAATTCAAGGAACAATGCATGTTACCATAATCATTGTGGGCAAACAATTTTAAGCAGCTTTTTGTTTCCATGTCCCACAGCCTAACTGTCTTGTCCATTGAAGATGAAAGCAGTAGCTGGAAACATATAACATTAATGCCTATGATGAAGGAAAAGAAGCTGAAAATTTTACTGTAACAAGAGGGAGGGAAAAAACGGCGGTAGCAGGAACCTGATATCGGGACCATGAGAGATCCAGGACATCATCCTGGTGACCTATGAAGGTGCAAACTGGTTTCTCCGAAAGAGCAAATACTGTTTCCGGCACATGGGCATAATCAGGGATACCCTTCTTTTTGCTTGTATGTTTTCCTTTTTTCCGCTTTTCAGATGGCCGGGGAGTTACCTCGGCGAGGGGCGGCCTGTCTGCTATGGCAGAAGCGGCCATCGGGTGGACAGGCGTGGAACTGGCAGAATTCACCTCATCTTGCGATTTCGTTGAGGCAACTTCACATTCTTGCACTTCCCATATGTGGATCATCCTATCTTCCCCTGCAGTAGCAAGATAACGGGCATCGGTACTGAATTTGACAGTCCAAATTGAGCCTTCATGAGCCTGAATCTCTTGGCACAAATGAAGAGCCGTGAACTCCTTACAAGATTTTCCATGCTGTCGAACTTTAACCCATTGGGAAGAATCTTTTACTCTAGCTTTCTGTTCTGGAATTGGAACAGCTTCCCTTTCTTTATCAGCAATCAATCCACTCATGCTATTAGCTACTCCTCTAATGTTCTTCAAAAGAGCAACCCCTCTTCTTTTACTGTTCCTAAAGCTCGCTCTTAGATAAGAATTTGCAGAAATTTTCCGGTTATCATCGTCCAGATTCCTCGATACATTTTCCCTCCGCATCAACTCTTTAACCACAGGCGAATATCCAACAGATTTCTCAAATTCTTCCATTGTAAGCTGCTTCCCTGTTTCCACATCGCTGAGCTTATTCCACATTCCCTGTTCATTATATTCCTTCACAATAAACTCCTTCCCAGTGTCCAGATTCTTTATCAAGAAGAAAGAACCGATTCCGCCATCTGAAAACATGGATGATAACAATCCGCTGTTGGGTGATTTACATGTGATCTTTTGAGGGGTTGCTTTTACATTATTTGCATAAGGACACAAACCTGAATTGGGTGTAATAATCAAGGATGATGTCCTAGTGAGCCGTTGTTTCGAAACAGGACCGATTAATTCCTCTTTCCTTTTCTTGGTGTTAACAGAAAAGGCTTCAATATCCCCGTCTGATCTCGATCTCACCAGCAAAATTGGACTCGAATCAGGGGAATCCTGCTTCGGTTCATCTTTCGCCGGGGGGCGAGATTCCTTCTTCACCGCCGGAGCCGGATGACCAGTTTCGGGTTTCCGGGAAACTGCCCGAACCAGTTTGGCACTGGCGATCTTAAGGAGGTTCTTGTTGCTTGCTAAGCCCATCCCTTGTAAGAGCCGCTTCCGGCGCTCCTTAATATCGCCCGGCTCCGCCATCCACATCCCGTAATCCCCCAGAATCGGGGGATAATTCGCCACCGCGTTGACTTCATGGAAATTGTTGGCGGAAGAAGTGTACGACTTTGAGGAAATGCTGGAGACGAATGACAGCCGGCTGTCTTCGAATTCGTCGGCGTCGTCGTCGGATCCCGAAGAGGCCAAGTCCAGGGGAATGGCAGAGGAAAGCCGGTCACGTGACTCGAAGAACCGGTCGTCGTCATCGTCTTCTCCCAACCCATCCCAATTCATTGTCAATGTTCTTTTGTCCATCGTGGCACATTGCTGATGACAACACAACGAGAGTTTTCAACAAATCAAATGGAACGAAGAAGAACATTGGGATGATGAAATTTCTGGGGAATTTTTTGAATTTGGATATTTTAGTTTTGCCATTTTTTTTTTCTTTTTTGGGTTCTTCTGGTTTGGTGCAGTGGAAACCAAAACTTGAAACAGAGAAGTGGAAGAGAGGAAAAGGAGGATATATGGAATTGTTGTTTGGTTTAATTGGCTTCGGCTGGCGGGGAAGAAACAGTCAATTGAGGTCCTTACATCTCTTCACGTCATTTTTTATTTTTGTTTTTGTTTTTATTTTAAATATACTGTCCATAAATTAAACATAGTTGAGATATATACTGTCATTTTTAGTTTCCGTTATCCGTCAAAACTCTTTAGTTTTCCATTTGTAAACATGTTTACACGTCTGATTTTAGAATTTGTTCATAATTTGCTTGTTTTCTTCTAATTGACTTTCAACTTTCTAGTTGATCTATGATCCTCCATTTGACATCGCTCTCTCTCTTGTCATGTGTTATTTTGATGTTTTATAGATATATAATTCTTTCATAGTACCAAATGTAAACGGTTGCATCTTTCTTTTTTTAGTTTCATTAAAATAATTCATACTCATTTATGTGCACCACATCCATCAGCATTTGTCACGTCTCTGTGGGTTCACATTTGTAATCCAACAATCTGTAAAATTATTTTAGACTGCGTTTACACTTCAAATAGCTACTCAAATATTAGTAGACAATGACTCAATGTTATTCGTCGGGGTTATTCCTAGGTTCTGTATATCAATTGTAATTGACTGGTTTCTACCAAAATTAATGAAGGTTAAAATGGGGTGGGTGGGAGGGAGGGTGCAAAAGTGGTATAGCCTTAACCTTTATTTTGTTTGATTGTTACTCACTCCGTTTTAAAACATATGTCGTTTTAGTTTTGGAGATGTATTTTAATACTTAAAAAGGTTTTACTAATTATAGATTTTTTAACTTTATCCTCAGTTGATGGTATCAATTCCTAATTTTGATTAAGTCTTGTTTGTAATTTTAATATTACCTCCATTTTTTTTTGCTCATCTGTCACTTTAGATTGAATCCAAAACTTTTTTTATTCGTCACACTTCATTTTTAATGCAATATTAAATACAGTTTTTTCAATTTCACCCTTATTTCTCCCTACTTTTAACAACATATATTAATGAAAACTACCTATTCTTTTACTACTTCAATTTCAAATTTTTATATAGTTCTAATCCTTTTAATTAGGGACAAGAAAGGTATTATACTTAGAAATTAAATTATCAATCAGGGCTTTCTTAATACCTGTACAAACTTTAAAGCGACAGATAAAGAAAAATGAAGGTAGTACATTTTAACCATGAGTACAAAGATACTTGACGCATAAATTAATTATTGAATGGATTGTCTCTTCTGTTTCAGTACAAAGTTTAAAGTGACTTATATTTTGAAATAGTAGGAATATCCGATTTCCAAATTAAATCTCAACTGGCCAATAGTCTCTATTAGATGTGATTCCTTTGTTGATTATATGATAAAAATTGAAATTAGTTGTTATATATTTCCTATGTCACGAAATCATTGTCGAATTTGAATTTTTATTTTTTAGTATAATTTGAACTTTAAAAAAAAATTCAAATTGAACAATAATTTTAGGACAGATGAAACATATTCTTCACAAAAGTGAAGATAAACGTGGTGTGTTGGATTGATCGTGATATTATTGGGATTGTTTATTTTAACGCCAACATTGGATAGTTCGAAAATCCTTTGAGTTGGAGTTTGTAAACTTGTTTTCTCAGAATTAGATTTGCACTAGATCTAGAGGCTGTGAATTTGTTTTTTGACTTAAAAGACTGTAGGTATTACTACCGTTTCTTACTGTGTTTTCAAATATTTGTTTCCCTCCAATATGCAATCATACACGATACATCCAATGTATACTTTATAAAGGCAATATAAAAGCTCAGCAACTAGTTGGAATGAACTATGCATTTCTGCATATTCTGTCACCAGTAGTAACTTGATCCGAATTAAGATAAAAGTTCAATATCCTCTTTAATGTTAACAAACAAGCTTTTATTTTTAATAAACTAAGTTTACAACTTTGCATTTGCCATAAGATCCGAGTTGACCAGACCTCGCTGACCATCCGTGGCATCCCACTTTCAAGATAGTTGTTTGCAAGAACATAATTTAGAGGCTCTTTATTGTGTTTTAATAATCCACTGTATAAATCTTAAAATGACTGTCCCATTTAATTTTTCAATTTTAGTATAATTTGTACAAAAAAATAATACTCCACAATACATTATATAAAACAATTTAATAAAGTAGACTATGAGAACGAGCTACAAGAAGTATCACTTTTTTTTCCCAAACTTTTTATAGCCATTTTTAAACATATTCAACTCAAAGTCGAATCAAGATTAACGCGGTCTAAATCGGGTTACATACCGAATAGTCAACCAATCATGTACTAGACTGATAGGTACTGTCAAAGCATCCTAAGCAGTACACAGTAAAACCATCATCGATCATCATGGAACAAATTATAAAGTCCTTTCCCAAAAACAAATATGGGTTGGAGGTTGACTTGGAATTGCACACGTCAAATCAAATCAACCAACACTTCCCAAGAAAACCGTTTTTGACAGCACCCATTCACATATTCCCACTGAAACCTCCTTTTTCTCTTTTACTATGATATATCCCCCAACATAAAAGGAGATTCCTTTTACATGTCAGATAGTATTTCTTTTCGTTAGTGATAGTTGTACTACGTGATTGGTGATATTTCAGGTAACTGCAACCAGCAAATCGCACTAGTATTGTCAAGCACTTATCAAAGCGTTCACGATTTAGGAAGCAGACTAATCACTAATGATAACTGATGATAGAAATTGTAACATTACCAACAATATATATTTAGTCTATGGATACATAAATAATGATCTACGATAATCTTAAGTTATGTTTGGATTGTTTTTCATGCGCATATTTTTAAGTATTTTTTTTTTATTGAGAATGTATCAAGTATGAATGAAAATTATGAAACATCAATAAAAAAAAACAACTAAACAGAGCCTATGGCTTGTTTAGCTAACATTTTGTTTTAGTTTTTGTTTTAGTTTTTTATTTGGATTTGAGATGTGATTTAAAATGTGGTTTGAGAAAAAATTTTAAAAATTTTTTGGGTAACATTTTAAATAAAATAATAATATTTTTATACCACCATCGGACCACCTCCACTACCGGCGCCGCTGTCGAACTGCCCATCGTCGCTGCCGGGCCGTCGACGGCCGCGACGGACGGTGGTCCGGTGATGGTGTAAAAATAATGTTTGAAATAAAATTTAAAAAATAAATTAAAAAGTTGTTTGGATAGTATTGGGTTTTGTGTTTGAGATGTGTTTTAAGAGGTAAAATAAGACAAAATACAAAATAAATTGTTGGCCAAACGAGACCTAAGTGTTTTGACTCTCAATGAATAATGTTTATTGTTTGAAATCGAGCTGAACTTAGAGCTAGGACCAAAAGAGGCTTCACTACGACCAAATGAGCTAGGTCCAAAATTTTCAAAAAGAAAAAAAAAAGTTAGTCGCTATTTGCCTTTGAGCATGGATTAATTGATTTCCACCTACAAAATTAAAGTGGGAGGTAGATCATATTCATGTACAAATAATTATAAGCTTGATGTGGATGGAGGCAGGTTTCATCAATGAATGAGGAAAGTAACATATTGTTGTGGACCTTTAATACTAACCATTAAACATCACATTGCTTCTCTTTAGCGGCAGGAAGCGTCGATTCAGTGGATGTTTTATTTGTAGGTGTCCCATAACCTACCTTTTCAAATAATTATGGGGCGATTTAATTGAATTTTGTCTACTTGTGAGAAACCAAATTAATAGTGAGGTAATAAAAATATAAAATAAACCATTTTTAGTCCGCATATAGCCCACTAATAAACCATTTCTGTAAGAATTTTGTATTTTCTACATAAAAATTATCCCTTTTTGATCCCTATATGAAAAATTGGTATTTTTATTTTAGTTACTACAACACTTATCTGAGAGATCATGAAAGAGGAACTTGGCCTCGGTAAGAGTTAACTTGAGTTTTGACGTACTGTACGTACATATACATTCAGGAGTTAAATAAGCCCTCCATACAATTTTAACGAAGGAGAAGTACAACACCACCAAACCATATCCAACACTCCCACACAAGTGTGATACGCACGGATACTATATTCCCAATGAATCAAAAATACAATTATCATTCAAACACATTTCATTGTAATTATCAAAAAATAAAATAAAATTAGACAATTGAAATCCCTGTCCCGATTCATTCAGATTATACTCACTTAAGAATGTGCACAAAATGTACTCTTCCTGTGCGAAAAAATAGTCCAAAACTCACATTAGACTACTTTTTTTTTTTAGACCGAAGAAGTGTAATTTACTGTTTTTAATGCCATATGCCCAGTAATTAATAATTCATCATCACATACCTGATCAATTATTAATGATGAAATACTACTCACAAACTTTAACGGCTAATTTAATCAAAATTGTGCACTGAAAACCAAAAAGAAAAGAGAAGTTTGGGAGGTTGGAGGCATCATCAGACCAAGTAAAAGGGAAAAGAAAAAGGGCAAATTCTTAAGAGAAAGAACTTACATGGAATAATTAATTACCTGAACTTCAAATGTTTCAGTAACATATACTCCCTCCATCCCATAATTATTGTCCAGTTTGGGTTTTCATTTTTAGTTCAGTTTGTACTAAAAGTGAAATCTCAAACTGGACAATAATTTTGGGACAGAAGGAGTAAAAAAAAAAAAAAACTGAATTTTGGAATATATTCCCAATCTTTTAAAGAGCAGGACATAGAACCTGGATTGCAAAAAGGTTGGAAAATCTACCACTAAACTAATCGACTAGTTCTAATCTTTTTGAAGCTGCTTTAGCTTTTACAAATTCAGTTTACTAAAAAGAATGGTACACCCAAACACCCCCTCTCTATATCTTGATATAAACTGCCGGAAAGTGAACAGCTTGAATCTAAGGAATAAATTATATGTAGAAAAGAAGGATTAAAAGAAAAAAAAAAAAAAAGCTAACTAGCAGTAACTTCACATTCACTCCTTTGCTCCTGTCTTAAAAAATAAAAAGAAAAACCTTTTGAGTTGATCAGTAAGTTTGGTGCTCAATCTTTAACCTGAATCCGGCAAATTTCTGCGGTCTGGATGTATATCTTTTTTTATATTTCTGCAACCGGCGGGTAAAAAAAGGACTGTAATTGTGGGCGCTTTGCGGGCGAGTCGTCCCGTCGGGTTTTCTTGGGAGCCGGTGGGCATTCAGTGATCACCGGGATTCTGTGTTCCGGACCTGTCGGAGTTTTGAAACCATCATCATCATCACCGCCGACGTCTTCTTCTCCTCCGGCCTCAAGTTGGCCCAAGGGCCTACGTCTTTTTGATCCTGTCGTTGACGAAACTTCACCGTCATCATCAACATCACCGGCGCCGACATCATCGACGACTTCTTCGTTTTTGTCCTCTCCGATTTTTTGAACGTCCTGATCCTGCTTTGATTCTTTCTCTTGAATCCCATCTGGAATATTTGACGATTCAGCAGCACTGATCATGGATTTCGTTGACTGTTCTTCTCCCTCTTGATCTCCTTTTACTTGATCTTCCATGGCCGCAGTTTGCCCGGTCTCAAAAAAAAAACTAATAATAATTGGGAAAAATATAGGTAGAGATAGGAAAAATAGACCAATGGATTTATATAATATTCAGAAGAAAAATTTTGAAAAGGAGGAGGAAGGGATCGATTTTGAAAAATTTGGAGAAGCCAAAAAAGCCAGGTAGGAAATTAACGTTGGAGGAGTTGTTGTTTTGGTCGCGGTGAAAACTAGTAACGGACGTACATTGAGTCGACCGGAACGTTATGATCCACTCAGCATCGATCTTTTTTCTCTTTTATATTTTGGTTTTTCTTTTTTCTCTTTTTTTTTTTATTTTGAGAGCTTCGAGGAGGATGATGTACTGTATATAGGTTAATAACTAGAAGTCGACGTTTTTTTTCATTCTGGAATTTTTGGATATTACTTAGAAAGCAGGGAAAAGGAAGAGGAATCCGCGAGAATAATAATAAGGGAAGGAGTAGATGACTAGTAGGACAGGAATAGAAGAGTGTGTGAAGGCTTTTAGGATTTTGGAGCTTCTCTTACACTTTGGCGAAGGATCCAATGCACTCACTACTAATTAACGACCAGAAACAAACTTTTTTTTTTTAAAAAAAAAAAACCCTCCCAATTATAATAATTGACAGTTTTGTTCCGGTTTTTATCTTTTCACAATTCATACGATAAGGTTGTGGACCGTCAACAATAATCTAAAACGTGACTTACAGTTGTAAATCTCACCCTTCCAACAACAAGCTTTTCTTTTTCTTTTTTTTTCCCCTACCAATGTGCAATTGAATTTACCTAAAAATTTCGTGCACAAAGTGGGCAATATATATATATATATAGATATATATATATATATATATAAAGTTGATTTTAGTTTAGTTTTTGTTTTATGAATTCTACGCACTTTCATGCATATAAATGCAGTTTTGTGCACGTGCTATTTCCGTGAGGGGGGAAGTAGGGACCATGTCCGATTGCAACATTTTACACCTTTCTTCTCGTGATCGTTCCAAACAATTTGTAATTAGCTTTGCCAGGATTGGTCTACTTTTTTTGTACAACCACAATCATGCTTTCGGAAGTGTGCATTATACACTTCCTCCCATGTCTTAATTTTTCTCTCCAAAAAAGACTTCTTTATTATTACGTCTTAGAATTTTTCAGGAGAATTCTCTCATAAGTTTCAAATTTGGTTAAATTGAAAAAGAGGAAAATTTTGACAAACAATGCATAATGAACTATGATAGTAATGTGTTCGCAGTGGCTTAAATTTAATAGGTAATCCCTCCGTCTCAAAATTATTGTTCAATTTTGATTCTCATTTTTAGAATAAATTAAATTAAAAATGAAAAAAAATTATACAATAATTTCAGAACAGTAGAGTTGTAATTGTATGAAGATTGGACATTTAGTTGAGAAGGCGTATGCAGCTGGTCGAATAAGACGTGTGTTTTTTATTTTCCTCCCATCTAAAGCAATTATTTCCGGGTGTAAGAATATTTTATAGGTTGATTTGTGCTTGTAGAGTTTTAACTGGAACTAGAATATGTTGAGACAAAAAGAATCCCACATCGGTGTCGTCAAGAATCTGTCACCTGTTTATAAGTGCCAAAGGTCACTCCACTCATTGCCAATAGGTTTTGAGATGGGAGTCCAAGGCGATTTTGATAGAATGAATTTGCTTTTTGAAGAACTCTGATATGAACACGAAAGAGGTTTTATTTTTTTTTGTCCTTTTTTTCTTTTCTTTAAATAGTTTTATGATCATCAATAAGTAGAACTTCCAAAGCACGGAATCTGACCGGAAACAATAATTTATCTTTATTTTGAATTGACTTTTCATTACTTCCTCCATTCTACAAAAATACTTTACATTGTAGTATTTTTTTTTTTTTAACAAATCATAAACTACAATGTAAACAATTTTTTAAACAGAGTACTACGTATTTTTCTAAGTGGAGTATCCTATATGGAACAACATTTACTTGTTACCCCGCAACTATTAGGATTATTACTATGCCTGCTAAGTACTTTAGAATCCAGAATTAATCCAACATATTACACCGACTCTCTTACAAACCTTACAATATAATTAGAAGACTAAGGGGAGATTCAATTAACGATGCAACATATTTCTGATTTCATTTGTTGATGAATTCCAGCTATATTCCGCCATATGCTAGAGGCTAGGACAATTTCATTTTGCCATTGAAAACATAATAGATGGAATGATCACAACGTGACCTAGAATCAGTCCAAAGTGAAGCTGCGGGCAAGGTGCGGGAGTTGGCCGGTACACAATGTAGTAGTATCGAAAGTTGTATTGCCGGCCGGCACGTCGAAATGTTTTGAGCTTTTTATTGGTACTCCGCCAACAACTCTAAACCTGTGTTTTGAAAACCGAACCGGACCGGACAGTCGAACCAGTTTGACCGGGAATCGGAGGCCTTTTCGGTCAGGTTTGGATTAATAACCGGTAAACTTAAAAATCGGTCAAATTCGGTCAAACTCGGACAAAATTACAGTTTGATCGGGAATCGATACCGGTTAAACTGAAATTTTGAAATTTTGAAAATAAATTAATTTTTTAATATTTTTATGCCAGTTTTTACCGGTTTTAAAAGCTGATCTAAACCGGTTGAATTGGTAAACCAGTGAACTACTTGAGTTGTCGGTTCATCTTCCGGTCCGTTTTTCAAAACATAGCTGTAAACTACTAAACTACTAGTATAATAGATTCCACTGAATATTGGAGAATAGTATATATACCAGAAATGACGAATTAAGTGAATTCTTCTAACTACCTAGTGAAATATAGTATATATACCAGAAATGACGAATTAAGTGAATTCTTCTAACTACCTAGTGAAATAACGGTTGGTAAAGTGACAGTTCCGTTTTCAATAAGCCTTGTACCAAAAAAAAAAAAAAGGTACTCCATTGCTTAAAATTTCTTGTCTTTTACATTTCTCAATCCATCGATCTCTTCCCCTTGAAGTGAAGGTACGTACTATTGTCGGGCAAAATGGATGCCGGTTTTGGTGAAACAATCGGGAGTGGTGTTCTTTGTAAGGCCTATAATTCTTGCCTGCGGGGGATACAGTCACAAAGCTCTGCAGCCCAAAAGCCTAACCAAAAAAAAAATTTTAAAAAAAAAGTAAAAGGAAATGGACCACCTAGGATCAGTGCATGGCTTTCATCATCATATAACAGAGTTTTAACAAAGTACAATTTCACATGGCTGGCCAAAACATAAAATATAAAAGGACTACTGTATCTAAGCTGTTTGATATGAGTTCCCCACGAATGCTGAAATTTTTGTTGTCCAAAATAGACGAGAGGATCGGAGTGCCTCCTCAGAATTCATAAGTAATTTTAAGAAAATCTAGATTATATATGATACCTTAATTAGTTGGATCAAGGTTTTAGTGTACAAAATATAATTGGCCCAATGATTGAGATAGTTAGTGCTTCTATATTTATTGGTTGAGTAGCACCATAAATCATGCGTATATCACGAGGCTAGAAATTTTACTTTAGGTGAACTCCAGTACTAACGCCAATGTTGCCAAGGTGACAAGGCATTATTTTTTGATTTCAAAAGAGGCGTAAAGCACATATGTTACACAATTACATTGCGGACGAGTATGATACTCCAATAATATCATGTCTTTGTCTAAGACACAGGAAAAATTTTTAATGACGGACCATCTAACACATGCACCCCAATCTCACAAGTCACAAAAAATGAAGTTAGAAAATCCTATATGTGCTTGAACTGAGCTTGCCAATCTCAGGCCAACAATTCCCATATACCTTCTATAATACATGTATATGCACATACCTCCTTCTTATTCGCCAACTCCACAACACTTAAGTTGAATAACTGTGTAACTTATTTGTCCTTATTTGTTTTATTGAATAACTTGACAATTGGATTGAAAAATTATATATATATATATATATATATATATATATATATATATGCACGTATGTAACACGTACTAAAAGAACAAGACATTGATGTTGTCTTGTGCCACGTATAGTTGCTTGGATTAGTTAACCCGTGCGTTGATTAATTAAGTTGGAACTAGTTTGAATTTAGGTATTTTCGCCTCTTTCTTTGTAAAAAAAAAACTAAAGTTACATCTTTGAAGGATCAGGTAGTTTACAGATTACAGGGGAAAACTTTTGAATTTTTGTAAAGTGAGTTATGGAATTATGGGACTTTGATAAATCAAAGGAGTAACAAACATTACGGCTTTTGTTTGGTGTAAGATTAATTTTGGAGAGGCACCAGAAAACAAACCCCCCATGAGGCCATGACCCAGCTCATGCATGCCCTATCATAATTGCATGTTACGCTGATAGTCTGATACACATGCTTCCTCATGATTTAGCCTTATGATTTGTCCTGGGTCCAAGATTCTTTTCAATTCTTCCTGAAATTTCATTGCACATCTTCTTGATTTTTTACCAATTAATAAATTGATATTCAGCTCATTCCAAAAAAAAAAACTAAAATTATATAATATTAATTCAGCTCAGAAAAGCTTATTCGAGGAGCCATTAGTTGCGAATTGAAATTATAATAGTACTCCTCTAAGTGACTTATATTCTGTTTGTTTTTTTTTTCTCATAGTTTTTTCAGAATAATATAATAATATCTGTTCCATAATAACATATCTTTTTACATTTTCAATACACCTTTTTATATTCTCAATACAAAAAATACCTAAAAATACACATTAAAAAAACGAAACAAACATACCCTTAAATTCATGTGCAGTCGTAATTTGTCCGACAAACGTAAGTGTCCAAAACAAACGACGCTTCCAAGCAAACTTATACTACCGGTAGTAGTAAAACTGAAGAGTGAAATAAGTGGAGTATGTAATTGAATTGGGTAATCTTGCCAAGAAAGAAACAACTTTCTACTTTTTTTAAAAAAAAAAATTATTGCAGTTGATTCGATTTGTCAATTCCGTACATGTTGAGATAATTGCCCACAATGAGGAAGGATTGAATCTTTTTTTTTTTTTTTTCATTATCTCTTTTTACATTTCAAATTAGTTGGATAAATGATGATTTTGTCAGCAAATTTTTTTTTTTAATTTGTCGTTTCTAGGTTGTGGATGCAAGTTTGGGCCTGGTTTTGTCATGGACTACCACTTTGAAGTTTGAAGCTCCCATGGGCAGTGGATTCAATTTTTGTCATACTACTAACTTGCAATTGAACCAAAAAAAATTGAGATTGAAAGGTAGGGAATGAGGTATGTCGTTGGTTTGAAACTTGTCACAAACATGAACTCGTCATACGCGTTGAGCAATGTTAAATATTTATTTAAGTTAATTTGTTTCGTTCATTGAACACTTATAATTTAACGAATAGATAAGTCATTCTTTGAACCTTATTTTTAAGAGGGCATTATTGCCAGGAGATTATGATTTTATGAGCTGTTGACGTGAAGACTTGACAAGAGGCGAAATTTGTAGTCACCTTGCGGATTTTTCACGGCTAGCATTCGGTCATCCATGATTTCTGTCAAGATGTAATTGGGATCCCACACTTGAAATACCTTGCATTCTTCTATGCTAATAAAAAATTGATAAAAAAAAACCCCTTCCATTTCAAAAAAAATAAAAAAGAAAACTCCTAAGTTGATATATAAATTTCAAATACGATATTGTCAAACTGTTAAGAAACGGTGAGCAAATTAGCAATAAGACTTTGTAATGTATGTACTATTGACAAGAACCTTACAGCTTATTCGTATTTTCAAAAGGTGTGTGTATGAGGCTTCAAAGTTTGATCATCACGTAGTAAAAATGGAATTAGCTCATCATTAGCTGCAATATGTAATGTATAAATGGGACAAACAATCGTTTCAAATGCGGACAACAAAAGGAATTTAGCCCAAAGTCTAAATCATTTTCATTGTCTATCAATATTTGTTAGATAGCTGCATTTTTTTTTTCCTGGTAATAAGAAATGTTAACGGAGAAAATTAATTTAAGTATAATATGTTTTTGCTAAAAAAAAATGAGGACAACACTTGATCAGGCCAAAATTGGAGTCCAAACTCCCCTTAAGCAAAAAAAAAAAAAACAAAAAGAAAAGAAAATTCATGTAATTTTAGACGGGTTCATGTTGAAATATGTACATATTTATGATGTGGACATTTCTATATTTAATGTTGACAACAAAAAACAGGACTAACAAGTATGGAAACGAGAAAAAAAAAAAGAAAAAAAAAAAGAGAAGTCAGTCCATCACCATGACATAGTCAAGAGAGGCAGGTCCAGGACGTGTTTGCGTATAATTTACAATCATTCAAATTTATTTTAATTTTGTGGCTGAAATGAGATTCTTATAAATTAAGGTATTCAAATTGTTGGTGTATAATTTATCCAAATAATGTTTGACACCGCGTTGTATTGCAGTGGTTCATTTACGAGTGATTGATTATGCATTTCTGGTAGTTGATCGGTAACCGGCACTATTTTGGAGTATTATTTAAAAAGAATTATTGAATAACATCAAGGTTGCCCAAATATTGATAATAATAAATCAGAAAAATAAAAATTGCAACACATCCCTTCACACATTGCGTCATCTTGTCTGAGTTGTTTCCATCTGTTAGTTCCAAATCCGGCGTCCACCTGCCAAGACTATGCATTTTGTGTAAAATTTCAAAAATATTAATGATATAAAAAAGTCGTGTTTATTGTACGGTTAGTATAATTTTTTACATTTTCAAATTTGATATTCCTTAACAAAAAAAACCATAAAAAGCGTTTTAGACAGAATCTGAGATGGAATGGAGATGAATAATATCAAATTGACAATGCATAGTACATACAGAGAGTCAGCTATGCCACATGATTTTCAAAATATCAGTGAGCCATGGAACCCGCGCTTTTATGAACAAGACGTTCATAAAGTGGCACAGTGCGGCAAATCGAAATTTTTTGAATTTCTTGTGAGATCAAAATTGAATCAAACAAGAGGGAAAGTGTAAGAACAGATCTCCAAATGTGGTTATGGATTTTGATTTGATCATCATTTTTTCAGCTGCATTACCCTAAAAAGCTACTCATTTTTATTTTGTTACTTTGGTAGGTAATTTAACATAGTACATATATATATCTTTTAAATTAAACGTTCTCTACAAGAATTAAGCTATAATCCCGTAATAACTAGAGTTTGTTAAACTTATCACCTCACCTGCTTAACATTACACTCTTGGATTAGTATTATTTTTCCTCCATTAGGTTAATTTTTACTCGAGCATATAACTGTAGTTAAAATCTACCAAGAGTCTAGAGGAGTAACTTTAAATTTATTATTGTTAAGCAAAAAGAAAAAAAAGAAGAAGAAATAGTGATGAGAAAAAGAGAAAAACTAAAAATAGGAAAAGAAAGAGTAAAAAGCACAGACAGCTGTCTCCACGACAGCCCCAGGTGAGGCGTGACCGTCGATTCATCTGAGACCGAAGCAAGTGCTCATTTAAGCCTCATTTGCATTTGCATTTGCATTTCATTTAAGGGCGTCTCTCTCTCCGTTAGTTATTTTTTTTTCTCCCTTTACTCTCGTTCTTCCATTCCCTTCTCTCTCACTCTATCTGCCCCCCCCATCTCTCCATCCATTCATTCATCCTTTCTATTTTGGAAACCCAAGGCGCTAATTCTGGGCAGGGGATTTTTGAGAGAGCTCCATTCTCAAATCACACTCAAGGCGCCATAAGCGACAGACATTCTCTTCACTCTCTTGGGATTCGCGTTTATCAAAAAGGTTCCTGATCTGCTCCCCTCTTTTCGATTTGTTTCAAATTTTGAATTCGGATTTTTGAATTTGGATCTCTATGTTGTGTCTCTTATTCGATTTGATTGCTTACATTGTTTCCTGCGATTTGCCTGTAAGGATCTCGATTATGTGATTCTTGATTTGTCTTTTTTTTTGGTTGATCCGATGCTGAAACGTTATGATTTACGAGATTTGAATGGCGCCAATTGTTTAATTGATCTGTAACTGGTTGCATTTCTCTCTCACTTCAGAGGATTATTGCTTCACTATTGTAGAGTTACTTTTCATGTTGAGGCCGGTATATTATGTTTTTGAGTCAATCCTGATTTGTGCTTCCATTGATTTGTTCCTAACTGTCGGAGTTTGGATGTTTTGGAAATCTTTTTTCATAGCTGAGGATCTTTATCTCGGCTAATCAGCAACTGACGTCGTATCAGTAGATGTGGTTTAAGGCCTGTTAACTAGATGTTGGATTTAAATTTACAAATTGTATTTTCGTTAAGCTGAAAATTTGCTATATTCTGTGGATATTTCGCAATTGCAGTTTTCAAACTATCCTGACTAATTCGATCATTGACGGTCTGATTGATTCTTTGACAGGTAGTAAGAAATGGCAGATACTGAGGATATTCAACCACTCGTCTGTGACAATGGAACTGGAATGGTCAAGGTAAAGATTCACATCCAACTATTTAAAGCCTTTTTTGATTGATTCCTTTTGAAAACAGTATTCTCTTTACTGATCCTTATTGTCTGTGCTGGTTGCTTGATCATTATTACTCAGGCTGGATTTGCTGGAGATGATGCTCCTAGAGCCGTGTTCCCAAGTATCGTTGGTCGCCCCCGACACACTGGTGTGATGGTTGGCATGGGCCAGAAAGATGCATATGTCGGGGATGAGGCCCAGTCGAAGAGAGGTATTCTAACTTTGAAGTATCCAATTGAGCACGGTATTGTGAGCAATTGGGATGACATGGAGAAGATCTGGCATCACACTTTCTACAATGAGCTTCGTGTAGCTCCTGAGGAACACCCTATTCTTTTGACTGAAGCCCCTCTGAACCCCAAGGCAAATCGTGAAAAGATGACTCAGATCATGTTTGAAACCTTCAATGCCCCTGCTATGTACGTTGCAATTCAGGCTGTTCTTTCCCTCTATGCTAGTGGACGTACAACTGGTAAGCAATTATTTTTAATTGGATGATCTTAAGCAGATTTACTAACATTTGGATTTTGATCAGAAAGTCTTACCCTGTGAAGATTAGTAGTTTCTAATTATGGAGATGAAAGTAGAACATCATCAGAAATAACATCTGTCCTGTTTTTGAATTTTTCTTCTGTAGGTATTGTTCTTGACTCTGGTGATGGTGTCAGCCACACTGTTCCAATTTATGAAGGTTATGCTCTTCCACATGCCATCCTTCGTCTTGACCTTGCTGGTCGTGATCTGACTGATTATTTGATGAAAATCCTCACTGAGCGTGGTTACTCATTCACCACCACTGCCGAGCGGGAAATTGTCAGGGATGTAAAGGAAAAGCTGGCATACATTGCCCTTGATTATGAGCAAGAATTAGAAATTGCAAAGACTAGCTCTGCCATTGAGAAGAGCTATGAGCTGCCTGATGGACAGGTGATCACAATTGGGGCTGAACGCTTCCGTTGCCCTGAAGTACTTTTCCAACCTTCTTTGATTGGTATGGAAGCTGCTGGTATCCATGAGACAACATATAATTCTATCATGAAGTGTGATGTGGATATTAGGAAGGATCTTTATGGAAACATTGTTCTCAGTGGTGGTACAACTATGTTCCCTGGCATCGCTGACAGAATGAGCAAGGAAATCACCGCTTTAGCCCCCAGCAGCATGAAGATTAAGGTGGTTGCTCCACCCGAGAGGAAGTACAGTGTGTGGATAGGAGGATCCATTTTGGCATCTCTCAGCACCTTCCAGCAGGTATGATGATTTTAGTTGCCTGATCTGCTGGTGTATTTATAGTCAGATTGAGATGATACTTTCTTGTTTCAGTTATTAATTTTGTTTAATTCTTCTTAATTGCAGATGTGGATTGCCAAGGCTGAGTATGATGAGTCTGGCCCTTCGATCGTGCACAGGAAATGTTTCTGATCAAGGCAACTCTAGGTGGATCTAGTATTTTTGTAATTTGAAAGAAAATGCTGCTTGCATTGCCTATCTGAGATTTATCTACTTTGTCTTTGTCTATTTTCGTCTGTCTGGAATTTCGCCTCCTCTGTAATGTCTGGAGTAGAGGTTGCGATGCAGATAGCAGTCATGATGTTTCAATTCTTTCTTGTAGTTTTTCTTGGTCATTGTTACTTAGCAGCTGTTTTTTCTTTGTAATGTCATTGTTACTTTTATGTTACTACCATTTTTCGGAGATTATTTGGATGAACTCTTATTCAACCCTAAGTCTTTGATCATGCCATGTGGATTGGTACTAGTTTCAGTAAACTGGTTGCTGCGTGTGGCTCAATCAGGAAAATTCTGACCTTAAAACCGCAGGAAGTTAGTCATTATGAAACTATTCTGTCCATTTCTTTTATAATTTTATTAGGCTAATAGTCATTCAGGCCATTTCCTGTCAGAGCTTGCAGCTGCCTGAGTACGATAACTGTAGGAGGCAAGAACATTGTCAAAATTTACAGTTTTCCTTGAGCTGCGAAGGAAAGGATTTGGAACCTTAAACAGAAGTATGCCCACATAAATCAAAGCAGTTTAGGCATATTAGGAATGTAAAGTCTATAAATCAAAGAATTCTTCCGGCGAATTGAATTTTGCTACAAAATTATCTATTATAGAGATGGAAAGGCCACAAATCAAACACCTTTATCGTGAGTGAACCGAATTTGGGTACAAGTTATCTACTCGTTCTTTCGGCTTTCAGTAGTCCGTGAGGTTACATGTGTGTGCTTTTTCAATCAGTTGAAAACTTGAAATACAATATGATCGGTAATTCGGTATTTTTCACCGTGCGTTTGGTGTGATTTCGGAAAATCATTTCTCTTGGCGGATGCAGTCCACAATTAAAATCCCCATATCACAGAAAGCTCTCATTTTTTTGGGCTATGGCCCAGCTGATGTTGTGGAAACCCATCTAAAGTGGCTCGTGAGTCCACTTAATCGGACGGGCCTTTGTATTTGTCAAAGTCGTCTTTCTTCTCACCGGAGGAAGAATTTACACAGAGAGAAGAGGCCGGAAGGAAGGTAGTAGGGCAGTAGAATGGGTAGGATAGCAGTAGCTCTGGTTGTTGTTTCGTGGGTAATACCGATCTCCATCCTCGTCAATCGCATTGTTCCTGACCCTTATATGGTAACTTATTAATCTTCTGAACGCAGTGATGGGATATCAAATGCCTCAGGCCAGTTGATTGGTTTGTTTGATGTGAAACGGACGATTTTTTGCAGGATGAGATATTTCACGTACCTCAAGCTCAGCAATACTGCAAAGGGAATTTTAGAAGTTGGGATCCCATGATCACCACTCCTCCTGGCTTGTAAGTCTTACTTTTTGACTCATTTTTCTGGTGCTCTTTTCTTTTTTTTTTCTTTTTTTTTTTCTTTTGCTTGTTTGTGCGACCTCTGCTTTTATGTATCTGGGTTTCAATGATGCATGAAAAACGAAACAATTCACGGCCTGTTAGCTTTAGTTTGTTTGTTCATGATACTGGGTTGTTCAATTTTGCAACTAATTTGTACAAAACATAGTTAACTTGTTCATTCCTTGTTACTCAAAATGCTGTCAATGAATTAACTAGAAAAACTGGCCAGAGTTGTTCCCGTCGTTACTGTATGTTCTAATTACTAAATAATGTGCTTACTTTGATTATCTGGTGTTCTTTTCTGATAACCTTGATTGAGCATGCAAACTGGGCTTGTTTAAAAACCCAATGTGGTTCAAATATACACCGGGAAACTTAAAAAATTATCCAGCTTATCAAGAAATTGAAGTAGATATCTGATAATGAAGTTGATTTATACCATTTAAAATGTTTGCAGGTACTTTGTTTCACTTGCACATGTTGCTTCTTTGTTTCCAGGAATCGCAATGGCGAATTCTACTTCATCATTTCCTAAAGCTTGCTCCACTTCAGTTCTACGTTCTACGAATGGTGTATTGGCTGTCATTTGCGGCATTCTAGTATATGACATAATCAGGCATTTGAGGCCAACTCTTAGTGACAGAAAGGCAACTCTATATGCTCTTGTTCTCACTCTGTACCCCCTCCACTGGTTCTTCACTTTCCTTTATTACACAGATGTTGCGTCATTAACTGCTGTTCTTGCCACATATCTCACTAGCTTGAAGAGGAAGTATTGGATTAGTGCGTTGGTAAGTACATAAATCTGCCGCTTTCTCTGAAATTTGAGAGATTTATATTTCTAATGAATCTATCAAGTATTATGATCACCATTTTAAATATCCTTATGAATAAATGGTTAGCTCTAGTTATTCAGCTTTCAGTTTCTGCTCGTCAATTTTCTCTGAGTCACATTTCTTCTTCCCTTCTGGGACCAAGTGCTCTAATGAATTGAGCGTAAGTTAGTAGTTTGAGGTTAATTTTGCTTCTTTATTGGAATAGCAAAACCACTGTGCTCTTTCAACACAGAATTGGCTTACTTAAAGTTATTAGTTTGATAAGTTCTTGTTTCTGTTGGAAAAACTTACAATAATGAATGACCCTTTGTCTGTAGTTTGGAGCTGTTGCTGTATTGATCCGCCAAACCAACATCATATGGGTTTTATTCATTGTCTGCTCTGGAGTTATAAAGTTGACTCTGTCTCAGAAGAAAGATGATCTGCAACCTCAAAGCCATGGTTTGTCTGCAATTAGTGAAGGTCATTCTGGTTCCAGAATAGGTATGACCAGTGCCTCTAACTTGAGAAAGAGAAAATCTGGTGTACATGATTCTCCCAACCATTTGATCGCTCCATCAACTGTCTTTCCAGTTCCAGATTCAGCAGGTTCATTTCATTTTTTATTATCACTGCATTTTATACATCTTGAGCCTAGACCCCAATGGCTGGAATTTTTGTTGTTATTGTAAGAATCTGTGTTAATGTCTAAAACATTGTCGGTTTACAGATTTTTTTTTGAGACACTAGATTTTAAGGTGAAAAAGCCAGGGAAGGCAAATTCTGAAATGCTTAGTAGCTATGATGTTAGCACACCATATAGTGGCTCTGCCTTGTATGAGTTTAAATTTCATAATTGCCTCTTGTGGTTGCACATCACGGATCCTTCCAGGAATGGTCACTTGCGATGTGTAGAATTTGTAGAGGGCACGCCAGGTGCATTCTTTGCATTTTCAAAAAAACATAGGTTGAGTACTTTGAGGCTGAATTTTACAAATAGGTGCATACACCTCATCCTTAAAATAAATGAAGAAAGTAGCTTAGAAATTAGCATTACTCAAAGTAATAAAAAAGAGTACTGTTTTTCCCGGTTTATCTTAATTGCTAGTGCTTTTTATTTACACCATCTCTATGACCTTTAATGCGTGGCAGGGTTGCACAAAGAGGTACTGGACTTAATTTTCAAGTCATGGGAGCTTAAGTGGAAGCTACTCTCTTCCTTCATCCCCTTCTTGTTTGTTCTGTCTGCTTTTGTAGCTTTTGTGTTATGGAATGGGAGCATTGTTCTTGGTATGTAGCAGATGATCTTTGCATCTGTTCTCATCTTTTGTTAATTTCTCCTTGGGTGTGTCCGGTGCGTTAACTAATCAAAATGTATACAGAATAAGTAGCTTTTTAGCTGTGAAAAAACTTTAAGAGCAGTTTGGTGCTTGTCTTGAGCCAGTAAACGGCTGGAAATTCAATTTCATGTCCTCTTGTGGTTGTTTGAAATGCCATTAAGAAACTGAAATAACAGATTTTCAACAATTTCAATCCTGGGTTGAATTGTTGCCTAAAGAATTCTCATGTAGCTTCTCATTTGTTTCTTCGTTTTTCAGGTGCAAAAGATGCTCACAAGGTGTCTCCTCACATTGCGCAATTGCTTTACTGTGGATTTGTATCTGCAATGTTTATGGCTCCTGTGCACTTCTCATTAAGTCAAGCTACAGCTCTAGCCCGATCACTCTGGAAGAAGAAACTTCTTAGTTTCTTTTACTGGGTCATTGCAGTAACTTTTGGTTTCCTTTCAGTTCATTTCTTCAGGTTGGTTCATCAACACTGTATCTTTCCCTAATATATTTGAGAGACTCTTTCTGACTATTTCAGTTCTTCCAGAGTAACTTATTTTTCTTCCTCATTTATCTGACAATTGTAGCATAGCTCACCCATACCTTCTTGCTGATAATCGTCACTATACCTTTTATCTTTGGCGGAAAGTCGTCCAATTTCACTGGATGATGAAGTACCTGCTGGTGCCCCTATATGTTTATTCTTGGTTTTCCATATTCAATCTGCTAGGTTGGTTACATTTCAAACACTTTGTTATAGTTTCTTCCTTTCTGGCTCATCCTCAACCAAGTGTCAATCTCCGGTATTGATAGGGAAAACTCAAAAGAAGATTTGGACAGTGGCCTTCTTTCTGGCTTCTGCTGCGACACTTGTTCCTGCTCCGCTGATCGAGTTCCGATACTATACAATTCCATTCTTTTTCTTAATTCTTCACTCGAACATTGATGATACATTAAGTTGGTTCATTATGGGGTTGTTATATGTGGCGATAAATTTCTTCACGATGTACATGTTCTTGCTGCGGCCATTCTCTTGGAACCATGAGTCTGGCATACAGAGGTTTATATGGTAAATACAGAAGGAAGTTTGTCAGCATCCCGAAACCGCCGGAGCAGATGAAAAAGACAGATTGTGCTGCAATGCAGATCTTGCGTTTCATTGGAGGCATGGAATACTAACTCCAGCATGGTCAACTGAGGTCATTTGAGCCACCGGTTGACGATGTATGAAGACTTGAACACCAATTTTGTTTGCGTAACTAGTAAAGGTCTCACTGGAGAAATGTAACATTTCTGGTTTCAATGGCAAATAGAAAGAAGTGAACACTAACTGGTCTCGTCATTTGACATTTAGTAGGGATGATGAACCTGCAACTTTTTGCATGGTTTTCTTAAATTAAATGTTAACCATTGGATCCCTGTGCATTTTTCTTTAATTGTTATGTTTTCTTTGGTCATGTTTGTTGTATGAAAATTGTTTTGTAGTGACAATTACTCAACCATTCGATCATGGAATAACATTCTTTTATCTTAAAAAAAAGAAAAAAAATCATATCGAATTTAAAGATTTGTACTCGAAAAGAGGTATTATTAAAATATTTATGCTCACTCCTCTCCAAAAAGAAAAAGAAACAGTTTGGTAAAATATGTAGCAAGAATTTGTGGGTAATATTTTCTAATATATTAGCTTACTTTTTAAAATTTATAAATAATTGCGCATTCTCTAATTACTTATTTATACTTTAACACACGAAGAGTTTAGAAAGGGGGGAAAAAAAACGGTAAACCACCTGGAAACTTGACGCTAAAACAAACCATTTTTTGTCCTTGGCGCTGACGGCGCCACCAGCCATTGGTGGCCAACTACTCAAGAATATAGGTGAACCGAATCTTGATTAGATGGCTTTGGTGATCGGCATCTTCTAGATTATATGGCTAACCGAATTCAGAGACTAGCTGGCGGGTATCAATGGCGGAATTGGACCAAGAGAGAGTGGACCATCGTAGCTGCTGCCGCCCTCACTCTAGCCATCTTCACTTTTTCCGGCACAAACCGGTTTTCTTCCACCGTTATTCCAGGCGACAAAACTTTGTCTCCGTCACGGCAATCAGATTGGGTTCCCTTCACCCTGTTGAGCAATGCCCGTGAAAAGGGAGCCCGTAAGTAACTACTATCTCTCTCCCCGAGAGTTCTTAAAATGCATCTATCTGCGTAATTGCATCCGTTAACGAGTGGAATGGATGTTCTGGAATTGCAGTTTGTTTGGATGGGAGTTTACCAGGGTACCATTTTCAGAAGGGTTTTGGATCCGGTTCTCACAATTGGATTGTATATATCGAGGTTGCTTTCTTTCTTCTACTTCTCACTTGTTTGATACTTCTTTTCTTGATGCTGGGACTAATGGCTACCTGAGACATTTTTTATTTATTCTTTGTTGATGTTCATGTGGGATGCTTCCCATTTTTGGGCTACTTTTGGGTGGAAAATTATTATCCGGAGCATTTTGCTTGGCAAATTACTGTTTTGTGGGTAGTTTATAAGAGTATATTTAGGTCCAATATCTTTAGTTGATGGTGTTCTTTGGTGTTTGGTTATTTGTTTGCTTAGCTCTTTTGACAATTTTTGCCTTCCGACATTCAGGGTGGAGGGTGGTGTAATTCTATAGCATCATGTACATATCGTAAACAAACGTTACTTGGTTCATCAAAGTATATGGAACCTGAAATTCAATTTACTGGCATGTTGAGCAATGACCCTTCTCAAAATCCGGGTAAGTTGACCACCTGCACCACCGCTGGTATTGTTGGCTCTATTTTGAGTTTCAGTGATGAGTTTTGGACAACTTTTAGCTGAGATTAGGATATCTTGGGCTGATATTTGTCGCAATTGTTTCTATGTGCTCTCTTCTTTGTTAAAGGAGTTGAGTTATTTAATTTAAGTTCCTGCTTTGTACGAGGCTTTTCTAAAATGTCAGGGTTTGTGCTACATTTACTCACTTGATTTGTTCGTTGAAGTTGTAAAATACCAAAAAATGTGTTGTTGCTGGCCGTAAATGTTAATATCATCTGTACTTGGTTGCATGTATCTATAGTCTGACATGTTTTGGTCTCAGACTTCTTCAATTGGAATAGAGTGAGGATCCGGTACTGTGACGGTGGATCTTTTGCCGGGCACCCTGAGGCTGAGTCGAAAGTAAGACCTTGAGTACCACTTTATATTTTTCAGAAACCAAAAAATATTGGACTTTTGTTGCAAACCTGGGATTTGTAGAAAAGAGAGCAATTGAAGGTGAGGCGTTTATTTCCTCTGCAGAATGGAACAGAACTCTTCTTCAGAGGTCAGCTTATTTGGGAAGCAATTATGGATCAACTGTTGTCAATAGGGCTCTCTACTGCAAGACAGGTACTGTCTTAGTTTGTAATGTTGATTTTTTTCCTTGCATATCTATGGAAACTGTCATCTCTTGCTCTTGCTTGCCTGAAGATGCTTTCTGAAGTGCTTGTTGAATTGAGTTAGTAGCAGCTGAGCTCCCCTTATCTCATTTTCCTTGTCGTTGATGTATATAGTTTAACTGTTGTATATTACGAGTCTATATGTGACATTTCTTACAAGTTACGCCTATGAAATTCAATTATGACACTTAATTTCTTCTAGAACATGACAATCTATCAAGTTAGGCTTTAGTTAGTATCATATCACGAGGCCTTTGTCAGGGTTAGGGACAAAACCGAAGCATGTGTTATGGAGTAATCTCTTTAATTATGATTCAGCTGCTGTCCTTCAGCTGACAAAAGTATTCTCGTCTATCCAAATTGAAATTGGCCTTTTACTGATTACTGGTTACTATGATTAGGGACTTCTTGCTGGATGCTCAGCTGGTGGTCTGGCGACTCTCATACACTGTGATAATTTCAGAGAGGCTTTGCCGAAAGATGCTAACGTCAAGTGTCTGGCTGATGCAGGTTTTTTCCTAAATGAGTATGTTTCTATGGAAGATTATGCTTTTGATGATTTTGTTGAGGATCAACCAGCCTGTGTACCATAAAGATTTCAGAATTGAAACAAAATCTTTTGGCATGAATCATATTCATTTACTTGTGGTCTCTTTCAGGAAGGATATTGGTGGGAGACCCACTATTGAAAATTTTTACCGTGATGTTGTCCAACTTCAGGTGTGTTAAATTAAAATCTTACAGTTTTGGTCCGTTATTTGCATATAGTACATTTATGAAATTGTAATGGTGCGATTAAGATTCCCCTCTCCCAAACCACCCCCACCGGGGAATTAGAGCAGTCAGTTGAGCAAGTTGCTTTTCATCCATTTTATGTGAGTTAATCACTCTCGTTAGGCTTTTTACCCTGAGCTTGAGACGCGTTTCTAAAATAAATTGATGACAGAAAGTGGGAAGTAAAATGGAAAATTGAGCAAGGCTGCATAGATAAAAAAGTTAATAGTCATCACAACATAAGAGAGTTATGTCCATTTATTTTTGTCACATCATTCACTAATTTATTTCACTTTTCCTATCATTACTTTGAAGATATTGCAGTTTTGCTTTTCCTTGCGTTCAGCTGAGATATGATTTTGAACTGATAATTTCTTGTAAGTTGTAACTGATCCAGGGAATCGCAGAAAGTCTAAATAAGGATTGTCTCTCAAGAACGGAGCCTCATAAGGTGTTCAACTTTGTTCAGTTTCTATTACAAGTTTGTACTATGTTAGCAAAAGTACTGTCAATTCTAACTTGCAAAAATCTTTATTGTCAATGGTCAGTGCTTTTTCCCTCAAGAGTTCATCAAGTATACAAAAACTCCATTGTTTCTTGTCCAGCCTGCTTTTGATTGGTGGCAGGTAATGAGAAAATTCATATGTTGATTTTCACATTTCAGATGCATAAATTTGTGCTGAGGAGCTTTCATTTATCTGGAATTGCCTTCTTCTAGATACACAATATCCTTATACCAGATAAATCAGACCCTAAAAGAAGATGGCTCAGGTGCAAGCTGAACACGTTCAATTGCGATCCTGCCCAACTTGAAGTACTACAAGGTGATGAACATTTGATATCCGTAAATTCAAGTACTATTTGTGTCTGTTTGATTTTTGAAATTTTCATTCGTGACATCTTAAATAGCTGTGTGGAGAATTATGTTATTATATTCCTCATTGGGGTATCTATCACTCTCAGGCTACCAGAAATCATTGCTCAAGATACTGAGTGAGTTTCAGAAGAACAAAGAAGGGGGAATGTTTATAAATTCTTGCTTTATTCATTGTCAGACATGGGATCCAGAGAGATGGCACTCATCTAGGTCCCCAAGAATCAATAATAGAGTAAGTTTGGTTCTTCTCTTGAGAGTTTGTGGTAAACCACAGGAATGCATGAGGAGACTTGTAGCCTATTACCTTATATTTCTGCAGGTTTTCAACCCAATGTACAAAAATGCTCTCCTACCTTTTAGTGTATCTGCTGAAATATAGGACTTCTGTGTTATGATGTTTATGTGAAAAATGATTTACCTGCTTAGGACTTTCCTTAACTTCTATGAAAGCGTCTTCTTAGATTATTATGATGAAAATTGTAGCAGAACTTAGTCTGCGGAGAGCAAGGAGCTGAGTGATACTGATATTTTTCCCCCCGAAAATCAGTCAGTAATAAGGGCGTATCGTTTCGTGTTGTATATTCACTTTACTATGCTCTAATTTAACCGTCAGACCTGCAAAAAATTTGTTCAGTTTGAACTATATATGCATTGGCTCACAAACTTTGTTTTCATTGTGTGAGCGCAGACAATAGCAGAATCTGTTGGGGACTGGTATTTCAACCGCAAAGCAGCGAAACATATTGACTGCCCTTCCTTTGGATGCAATCCTACCTGCTATAACATGGATTTTACGCGCAGTTTGTGATGAAATGAAGATGAGGGCAGGATCCAGATTGTTTTAAGCGGGATGGACGAAAGTGGAGCTAAGCAATTCTTTAGTATATGTAGTTAGTGTGGTGTTGTTGTTGATAGATAATGCGTTTCTCATGATAGAGATTGGTTATAGTATTTCGTGCCAGGGAAACCAATCATTTGTTAACTTGGGAAAACATATGTATATTTGTGTGTCAAATTTGTGGAATGACATTGCTCAACCGTTTAATTGTATTTAGGGAAAAATTTTGGAGGCTACCGAGACTGCGATTGGCCGGCCATTCACCAGTTACTTTACTTATTGCTGCTATATGGAGTAGTAAAATTGGTAGTATGAGCTAATTCTTAGATGTACAGAAGAAGAAGAAGAAAGCAAGTAGTTGGGGTAATGGTTTTGAGCTTTATATCAAGCTCAGTCAACTTGGTTAACTTGGACCTGAAATTAACCCTCTGACTCAGTTTCTGCTGTGTACGGAGAGAGTTTGGGCATTGATCCTGGGCAGAAAAACGGTTTGACGGGACGAAATAAAACCAACAGAAAGAGGGAGTAACCTTTTTCATGACGCCAAACAATTAATACTTAGTATTAGAATTGACGATCCGATTCTGAGATGCACAGCCAAACCAGATTCATAGACTGCTAGGATCGTGGTAGCTGTTGATCCTTCAAGCTTGTCATCTGGTGAATTTCCCGAAAACGTTTTGCAACTCAATTCGCACCTGCTGGCTGCGTTTTCTGGAGGGAGCAAAGGTTCGCTCAAATTTCTGCACAATCTTCTGCCAGTCATGGTATTTGCTTCTGCTGTACATCTTGAGCTCTCTGTTTATTTTGACATTGTCTTTACTTCAACATAAGGAAGGTTTGGCTGTTGTCATTCTTATTGACACTGCATGTCTTTCAGTGCAAAGATGTTGAACTCGCGGAGGGGACAAAAGCTTCTGCCGCTGAAGCTTCCAAGTGGCTTGCTGACTTTCTGTCTCGTAATCCTGACAGTGACCTGGGTGTGTCACTAGGGGTACTGATTGCTGGGTGGGACAACGAATCGGTAAACCTTCGAGTGTTCACTTCTTTTTTTTTTGTTTCCCCTATGCCTCTTATTGGATTGATCATGGAAGTCGTGGTTTGTCTCTCTGTAGGGACCTTCCCTGCATAAAGTCGACGGTATGGGGAACGTGCTGAAAGAATCCTTAGCTGGAACTGGATCTGCCAATGAGGGTCGTTGGTAATTGCTGTCGGGTATTTTTCTTTTGCTTCCATGGTGTTGCTCAATATTTAGCCTAGGAATTGACACTTGGCCTTCTTGATGCATCGCACACTTTGTCTTAATCTAAATTCCTTTAATTTCTCTTGAGTTGTTTTTCCATATCAGGTATTTGTAACTTTGCCTTTACTTGACTAAGAACTTGTTTCTGGTTTCTCTATAGGGCCCGTCGCAGCGGTTCTTCCCAGGCTGAAGCGGTGGAGTTAGCCAAATGTGCGGTTTGTATCGGTGTATATAATGCCCCCGAACGTGATGGATATGTCAGTGGTAAGTTTGTGATCTCCTGGCTGCTTTTGTACTTGCACGTTAATTTGTACGTGAAGATTGGCGCTGATCAAGTATGTTCTTCTTCACAGTCTTTTAGTTTTCCACGTTGGAAGTGCCGGGGTTAAACTGGAGATCTCTAATGATGATATAGACGAATGGCATAGGCAGCGCTGCAGCGAACAGGGGATAGAGTGGAAAAGCCCAAACTCCAGAAAATTTTTCCCCACCTATATGACTTATTAGATGAATGGGAAGAGCTCTCTCATGATAAAAGCTGGAGACTGATGCAATGACTTCTTTCTTTTCTGTGTGTGTTTTTACTTTTATGGTGTCTTCATCCTTTTTGTGGACGAGAGTATTTTTTGGTGGAGAGTTACGAAACCGATTCACAGAATATCACTACTTGGGATGAACTTTTTCTTTCATAGAGATGTCCCATCTCCAAAATCAACCAAAAGCCTTTAATTGGTGATCACTTATCAGCTTTCACTCGCCATCACCAAAAGTTTTTTTCTCTTCTACTGTTGGATTAAGTGATTCCAATTTACATCAAATAAAATGATGAACTGCGAATCTCAGGATTTGATTTAAAGTGGTGGATCTTTTGCCGGGCACCCTGAGGCTGAGTTTGAAAGTTGATTAGGTTGCTTTATAATTTTTCAGAAACCAGAAAATTTTCTACTCATTGTTGCAAATCTGAGATTTGTAGAAAAAGAGAGCAATTGAATGTGTGATGTTTATCTCCACTGCAGAATGGAACAGAACTCTTCTTCAGAGGTCAGCTTATGTATGGTATCAACTGCTTTCTACTGCAAGACACATACTGTCTTGGTTTGTAATGTTCATTTTTGCCTTGCATATCTGTGGAAACTGTCATTTCTTGCTCTTACTTGCCTAAAGAACGATGCTTTTTCAAGTGCTTGTTGAATTGAGTTACTAGCAGCTGAGGTCCCCTTTTAACTCATTTTCCTTTGTTGCCTATGTATTAAAGCTTGTGTACTCTGTACATAGGGCTGAGGTTCCACTGGAAAAAGCACAAAGAAAGTAAAAATTTTTCATGACGCGGAAGAATTGATAGGACGAATGTAAGAAGGCAAACCAAATACTAGTAGGAGGCGTTAAATTGCGTCCATGGCCGACTAGGAGGACCACCAGGAGAGAATGGACCATTTGTAGGTAGCGGCTGCGGCCGTCACTCTACTCTTCCCTACTTCTTCCGGCGGACTCCGGTCTTCTTCCACCTGTGCAAATTGCTGCCCGCGAATGCAAAATGGCATAAAGTAATTAATACCGAAGGTCCAGAGATGAGAGAATTATTCGGGAAGGGGAAAAACGAAAACTTTACGACTCATAACATAAATCCAACCGAAAAGGTATCAATCTCTTCATGACCCCCACTGTAGGATGGCGAACCAATTGTATAGACTACAACGAAGCTTGAGATCATGGCGTCCGCTGCACACTTGGACCAAGAGAGAATGGACCATTGTAGCTGCTGCCGCCGTCAGTACACTACTCATCCTAATTTTTTCCTGCAGAGGCCGGTTTTCTTCCACCGGCGCTGTGCCCACCAACGAATCATCGTCGCCGGCTGAACATTCATATCGGGTTCCCTTCACACCTTTGAGTAGTAATCCCAGAAAGAAGGCCGCCCGTAAGTAACTTTGTCTCCATTCTTCTTAATAGCTTATTTGGATGAAAGGATGCATTTGCATTGGTTGACCAGTGGAATGGATATGCGTTTGGAGGTTGCAGTTTGTTTGGATGGGAGTGACCCAAAGTATCATTTACACAAGGGTCATGGATCCGGTTCTCTCAATTGGCTGCTGTTTATGGAGGTTGACTTTACCCTCTTCTGTATTCTTTCGGTGGCAGTTTGACTTTAACCTTCTTTTCTTCTTAATTCGTCTTGTGCTTTTTGACACGTTTCCTGATTCTAAAAATGTTTTTTTAATACGTTAAATGGACTTAATAAACGTGAATATTAATGGAAAATGAATAAACGTGAATATTAATGGAAAATGCCACTTGCTTCTATTAGCAATGTTTCTGTACAGAAAGTGATCAGTGTCACCCCTGTTTCCTGATTTTGCAGACGGGAAAATGAGAGACATGGAAAATTTTATTAAGTTACACCTACGAACTTGAAAATTACTTATTACTCCTTCTGTCCCAAAATTATTGTTTGAGATTTCACTTTAGTACAATATGAACTAGAAATGAAAAACCAAACTGGACAGTAATTATGGGACGGAGGGAGTTGTTCTTACTTCCGACAGGGAAATGCCTGGGAATGTTTGGGAAATTAATTTAATATTGTGTGGGCGGTGTATATGAATGGAATGAGGTGTAACATTAACCATGTATCGGTATTCTTGGATCTTGGGTGTTAATAAATATTTATGTTTGCTTAGCTCTTTAAGAATGTGTGGCTACCTACATTCAGGGTGGAGGCTGGTGTGATTCTATAGCATCATGTGCATTTCGTAAACAAACGTTACTTGGTTCATCAAAGACTATGGAACCTTTCTTTTCGTTTTCTGGCATCTTGAGCAATGATCCTGTACAAAATCCAGGTACGTTTGATCTCCAGTATCAATTATTACTGGTATCATTTGGATGTTGTGGAATTTCAGTCAGTAAATTTTTGTGATTGTTGAGCTGGCACATGTGGCAACTATTCCTTTGTTCTATAAGGAACCGCAAAACATCATGAAGCTGCTTTCTTGTTAATTCAAATATTTATTTTATGTACTTTTCTGCTTTCCACGAAGCTCTTTCAAGGGTTTACAGTATTGCTTCCATATTATGGTGCTGCTTTTACCCCCCACCTGATTCTGTAACTGGAGTGCTAAGATCTTGAAATCCATCTTATTGCTTGCCTTGGATATTTTTTCTTTTTGCTCCTATACTTGGTTGCAACTATCATAAATAAGGGTCTAGCCTTGTTATCTTTTCATCTCAGACTTCTTTAATTGGAATAGAGTGTGGATTCATTACTGTGATGGTGCATCTTTTTCTGGGCAACCTGCGGCAGAGTTGAATGTAAGACCTTGAGAAAAATGCTTAATTTTGCCACGAATTGTGAAAGTTTGTATATTTGCTGCAAATATAGAAGAAAAGAGAAGAACTGAGTGTGCGATGTTCATCTTTATTGCAGAATGGGACAGAACTTTTCTTCAGGGGTCAGCTTATTTGGGAGGCAGTTATGGATCAACTGCTGTCGGTGGGACTTTCTAATGCCAGACAAGTATGATCTCAGTTGGAAAACCTTCAGTTTTGGTTCCTTAACCGGAGTTCTGGCCTATTTCATTTGTTTAAGATGATGGCAAATGTGAAGTTGGGCTTTCACATGAACTGTGTACAAATTGCAGGCATTTCTAACTGGATGCTCAGCTGGTGGTTTGGCAACTCTCATACACTGTGATAGTTTTCGGGAGGCTTTGCCAAAAGTTGCTAATGTCAAGTGTCTAGCTGATGCCGGCTTTTTCTTAAACGAGTATGTTTTTATAGAAGATGTTATACTTTTGATGATTTTTTTTGTGTGTGTGTATATGGAATAACAAGTACTTTTTTTAATTTCTTTCGTAAAAGTTGATTTAGTTGATGGGTGAGCTTGTGATTCTACATTGCATTTGCCTCTGATGTCCATAGATCTTCAGGTGTAGTGCCTAGGAGTCCTCTGATATAGTTCATTATCCCGATAACATTGGACATTCTAGGTTAAATCCATGGGTAGAAAACTATAAATAAGGCAAGAATCAACAAGCCCTTAATGGATGGTGATTTGGGAAATGGAACTAAAATTTTCAGCATGAGTCGATAAGATAGTTTGTGGTCTCTTTCAGGAAGGATGTTGCTGGGGAACACACTATTGAAAAGTTCTTCCATGATGTTGTTAATCTTCAGGTATGTTGATTATCAGTTTTGATCCATTATTCATAAGTTTGGTCAGATTTTCATATTCAGTCAAAGTAGTCAGTTGAGCATTGCTTCATGCTCTGAACGGTAAAGATCCTCTATATTCAATTATATGTTAGTTAATCACTTCCATTATAGTTAAGGAGTTTACCAGTGTTAATCGCTTCATTCGCTTGAGCTGTTTACCCTTGTGTTAATTACTTCATGGCAGTTTGGCTCCTCTTAAATCTCACTTGAATTGGCATGATTTTGTATTGATAGTTTTTTAATCGATCCAGGGAGTTGCGAAAAGTTTGAATAAGGATTGTCTCACAAAAACCGAGTCTCATAAGGTGTGTTATTCATCCATCTGCTGTTGCTCGAAACATTTCACCATCTTAGGATTAAAACTGTTCTATTTTTGGCTGTCAGTGCTTTTTCCCACAAGAGTTCATTAAGCACATAAAGACTCCAGTGTTCCTTGTCCAACCGGCTTATGATTCGTGGCAGGTAACGTAAGATTTATATATTAACTTTGATCTAAAGAAGATTTATGTTGAGTGGCTTTCTGCTAGCTGGAATTGCTTCTCTTCTAGATAGGGAACATTCTTGTGCCAGGGAAATCGGATCCTCAAATGAGCTGGCTTGGGTGTAAGTTGAACCTCTTCAATTGCAATCCCGCCCAATTAGAAGTCGTACAAGGTGATGAATGCTTTATGTATGTGAAGATAAGAGTAGAGAGACTAATACAACTAGTTTATGGCAAAAGACTAACATGGTTGCGCTTTCAAGTTCAGTAATTTTTGTCATGGAAAGTGAAGCCCTCATGGGCACTCATTCCATTTCTTACTGCCTATCATGTACAATAATTACATGGCTGATCATTGAGATATCATGTATTATTCACAGGTTTCCGAAAATCATTGCTACAGGCACTGAGTGAATTTCAGCAGAATAAAGAAGGTGGCATGTTTATAAGTTCTTGCTTTGCTCATTGTCAGACATTGAGTCCAGAGACATGGCACTCATCAACGTCTGTGAGAATCAACAATAGAGTAAGTTTAGTTCTTGTCTTTTAAAGTTTGTGGTGAGCCACTGAAGTGAATGTATTTTATCCTAATACTCACTGAGAATTTGAGAGGCACAGCTTGAAATTCATGTTCGACAGAAAACCGAACATGAAACTACACCATCTCATTCAGAGTGCATTTATTTCATTGCTTTGTTTGCAGACAATTGCAGAATCCGTTGGCGATTGGTATTTCAACCGTAGAGTAGCAAGACATATCGACTGCCCTTCTTTTCCATGCAATCCTACTTGCTATAATGTACATGCTGTAGACTATTCCAGAATTTGAGGAACCGTAGAACACTATCCTCCTCGAATTCCGATCTCAAATACTCAATGTTGCAGGCTGCTATAGTGTAGATTTCACGAAGAGCATCTCCAACCACCGACTCCTGGTTTACACTTGATACTGTGCGATCCCATCCTGTTTACAGTCGTAACAGTAACATGAACTCCAATGAACAACTGTATCTTCCCAGTATAATGTATATTCTCCATAAAGTATATCCTTTTCACACATATCATTTTATATTACTATTGTTACGAGTTAGTGTCTTCAATTGTGATCCTGCTCAATTAAAAAGTACTCCCTAAAAGAGGTGATGAAATGTGATATCTGCAAACTCAAGTTACGGTTGTTCTCCCAAGTGTGACCTCTAAAACAGCTGTATCAAGAGTTATGTAATCACTCTCCTCTGCTCTCATTGAGGTATCCATCACTCACGCAGCGTCTGGCTACCGAAAACCATAACTCAAGGCGCAGAGCGAATTTCAGCAGATCAAAGGAGGCACATTTATGGATTCTGACTTCTTGAAATTCTTATGGAAGAGATTGATAATTGATAAACGCATCTCTAGCACCGAGAAACGAACATTCCTTTAACGGTAAAAACATGTACACCTTATATGTCAAGTTGTAACATTTTATTGTCATTACAGAGAAACTTTTGAGGCTGTTAATTTGGCTGCTTAGCCTACTTCGAAAGAAGTTTATGTATACTCAAAATGGTACTCAGTGTTCTATCCGGTATGAATTCTGTTTTCAGTTTCCAGTTTCCACCTGAGCCGATTAATCCATAACCTTGCGAATCAGACGGCCATTTTGCACCAGGATTAATTATGAATATGACAATTATGATACTACCAATTCATGTGAACTTGAGAGTGGTACTTAAGGAAAGGGCTTATATTCAGCAAAATCACCTTTTGGCTTGGTCAAACTCTCTGACCTGAAGTCAACCTTTGGCTGAGTTTCTCCTTTGTCCTGCCTCCTCTGAGGTTTTCTGTTGGAAACATCATCTGGGCAGAGAAACATAGGACGGACGAAGAAAGAAAACAAAAGAAAATACGAAAAGAATTTGCAGATGGACAAAACCTCATTTTTAAATTACTTAAACACAGTAACTCTGGAGAATAAACTAAACAAATTTTTTTTTAAAAAAAGTTTCTCCTTTTTAATGATGCTGAACACTGATCAGATTGACAATGCGAATCTAAGATGGCAAACCCAATTCACAGATTAGTTGGAGGTTTGACATCATGGCGTCCGTGGCGCACTTGGGCCACCAGAGAATGGACCATCTTAGCTGCCGCCGCCGTGCTCCTCCTCCTAACTTTTTCCGGCGGACTCCGGTTTTCTTTCACCGCCACCACAGGTCCACCGTACGAATCATCACTGTCTTTGTCTGAACATTCTGATTGGGTTCCCTTTATCCCTTTGAGCAACGCCGTACAGAAGGCCGCCTGTAAGTAAAACTCGGTTTCGGTTTCTTGATTTCATATTTTCCATTATCAGAAGCGATTGCAACAATGGTTTGACTTAGTGGAAATGGATGCGAGGAGATTGTAGTTTGTTTGGACGGGAGTTTACCAGGTTATCATTTTCAGAAGGGTTTTGGATCCGGTTCTCTCAATTGGCTACTTCATATCGAGGTTGACTTCTTCTGTTTCTTCTTTATGTTTTTGGTGTCTTCTTCTTCTTCTTCTTCTTTGTGCTTTTCGACTCGTTTTCCACTTTTCCTTTTTCCTCATTCCCTTTTTATGATGATTCTTGAGGAATGAGGATTCAACTCAAGAATGGAGCTTTTTGTGGGACAACGTTTTTGAGACATCATTTCAAACATTGACTGGATTTGAATGTGTCCTTTTTCTTCTCTTTCTTTCTTTTGGCAAGTTGAAAGTTAAACATGGACTTGCCCAAAACAAGTCATCGAAAAGGAAACCCACCCCCCAAATCTGCTTTTATACGAGCATCAAAGTCAAATCCGCGAAATTAATGAATAAATTTACCATGGATCCTATATTAGTCTTTAATGTTTGATTTCTCAGTTAGGACGGTTTTTTTGCCAACCTTTTGTATCTCAATGAAAATATCAATAAGACAGAAAACTTAACTAGTTTCCCCTTTGAGCTAGAGCAAATTAGTAATGCATGTCCTCATTTGTATTATTTGATTTTTGCTTTGACAAGGATAAGGTTGAGCAGTCAGTTTGTGAATTTACTGTTGGCTGGGTAGTGGCGGAGAGTGTAATTAGGTGTAAAGTTTGTGGTTAATGGTAAATGTGAGTGTTAAGTATGTCTGCTTTAGCTCTTCTAAAAATGTTTGGCTACCTACATTCAGGGTGGAGGCTGGTGTAATTCAATAGCATCGTGTGCGCGTCGTAAAGGAACGCATCTTGGTTCATCAAAACATATGGAACCTCTGTTTCACTTTACAGGCATTACGAGCAATGATCCTTTACAAAATCCTGGTAAGTTTGATAGTCTGTACCATTTTTTACTGGTATCTTTAGGCTTCGGTTGAATTTCAGACTGTCAGTGGTGAATTTTGGTCGACTTTTGATTTCAGTTTTAAGAGTATGCATGTGGTGATTATTCCTTCCCGTATTAGGGAACCACGACTTCATAATAAAGCTGCTTTCTTGTTGATTAAAGGAGTTATCTTATTTAGTTTTCTGCTTTTCACAAAGCTCTTTCAAGGTCTTCTGGTTAGCTACCATTTTATGATGTTGTTTTCCATCCAACTGATTCTGTAACTGAAGTGCTAAAATCTTTGAATTCATCTTTTTTGCTCCTTTACTGGCTGCAAGTGTCACCAGGGGTTAACCATGTTATGTTTTGGTCTCAGACTTCTTTAATTGGAATATAGTGAGGGTTCGTTACTGTGATGGAGCATCTTTTTCTGGGCAACCTGAGGCAGAGTTGAATGTAAGACCTTGAGAATACTGTTTATTTCTTCCAGGAACTATGGAAGTGTGTATATTTGTTGCAAATATCGGTACAAGGAAAGAAGAGAAGTCAATGTGCTATGTTTATCTGTATTGCAGAATGGAACACAACTCTTCTTCAGAGGTCAGCTTATTTGGGAGGCAGTTATGGAGCAACTGTTGTCTTTGGGACTTTCTAGTGCCAGACAGGTATCTGTACTGTCGTCTCTGTTGGAAAAACTGCACTTTTGGTCCCTCTTCTTGATCCTACTACACAAGTGATTCTGTGAACTGATAACAATATACAAATTGCAGGCATTTCTCACAGGATGCTCAGCTGGTGCTTTGGCCACTCTCATACACTGTGATAGTTTTCGGGCAGCTTTGCCAGCTGTTCCTACTGTCAAGTGTCTGGCAGATGGCGGTTTTTTTCTAAATGAGTATGTTTGATGTTCAGTCTGATGATTTTGTTGAGGAAAACATGTACTTCTGTGCTTTTCTTCGCTCAAAAGTTGATTTTGTTGATGGTGAGATTGTGATGCTACTTTGCATTGTTTGTGATGACCATAGATCATCAAGGGTTCTATGAGTGCTTCAAAGCTCCCAAGACTAATAGAATAATTGTTTGTAAAATGTTTGTGATCACATTGTGAAGTAGCTAAAGTTCGGTATTGTTCAATATCCGGGTACATTGAACATTCCAGGTTAAGTTCTTTGATATGAATTTAAGATTAGAATCAACAAGCCCATAATGCAGACCGAGTTTGGAATTCGAACTAAATCTTTCGGCATGAATGAATGATGTAGCTGTTTATGATCTCTTTCAGGAAGGATGTTGCTGGAGACCGCACTATTGAAAAATTCTACCATGATGTTGTTCAGCTTCAGGTATGTTTATTTATTTGATCAGTTTTGATCCATCATTCATTAGACTGGTCTTCTTTTCTTCAGTCAGAGTGGCCACTTGAGCAACTTGCTTGATACTCGGTGCAGATCCTTTGTAATCAACATATTGAACTTTCACTTCCAACTAAGGATTGTGTTAGTGAATTTGAGTAGTTTGCCCTTGTTATAATCATTTATTGAACTTGAGCAATTCACCCTTGTAATAATTATTTTTGTGTAGGAAAAGGAGAGAACTGATTCCAGAAAATGGGTTTTAGATTCACTTAAATTCTCCTGAAATGACGTGAATTTGTACTGACACTTCTTGTTGCCTGATCCAGGGAGTTGTAAAAAGTTTGAATAAGGATTGTCTCTCAAAAAAAGAACCTTATAAGGTGTGTTGTTCATCCATCTTCAGTTCCTAGAAACTTTTCACTATTTTCGGATTATTACTCTCAGAGTTGTTCATCCATCTTCAGTTCCTAGAAACTTTTCACTATTTTCGGATTATTACTCTCATTGCCGACATGCATCAATCCTCTATTTTGGCTGGCAGTGCTTTTTCCCTCAAGAGTTCATTAATTATATAAAGACTCCATTGTTTCTTGTCCAGCCGGCTTATGATTGGTGGCAGGTAATATAAAATGCATATACTCCTTCAGTCCCAAAATGATTGCCCTGTTTGAGAAGAGGGATTAATAATTTATCAGATGTAAACATTTATCTTGAAAGGCTTTCAACTAGCTGGAATTGCTTCTTTTCTAGGTAAGAAACATCCTTGTACCGGATAAATCAGATCCCCAAAGGAGCTGGCTCGGGTGTAAGCTAAACACCTTCTACTGCAGTCCAGCCCAACTTGAAGTACTACAAGGTGATGCACACTTGATACCTGTTTAAGTAGAAAGACAGATGCACCTAGTTCATGGCATGACTGATACAGAGAAGCTCATGATTATTTGCCATAGTTATTACTTTCACTTTCTGTATCTTCATAGAGGAATGTGAAGCAGTCAAGTGCATACATGTTACCAATATGTTTAGTTTTTCAAATAAAGGAATTGCAACATATGGTATAAGTCCTCTATGACCCAAATTAGAAGTATTTCCTTTGGTGAAGTGGTTTGATTGTTGAAATTTTCAGTAGTTTAACATAATGGATGGCTGTGTATAATTTTGTTATTCTTGTCTGCTCGTCTATCATTCACAGGCTTCCGAAAATCATTGCTCAATGCGCTTAGTGAATTTCAGCAGAATAAAGAAAGTGGGATGTTTATAAGTTCTTGCTTTGCTCATTGTCAGACATGGATGCAAGAGATATGGCACTCACCAGCATCTCCGAGAATCAATAATAGAGTAAGTTCTTCTCTTGAAAGTTTGGGTTTACCACACAGGAAAGCATATATTTTATCATTATATTACCTCTGGGTAACAACTAGGAATTCATGGCAGAAAACTTAACATGAAACATGATCTTATCTCGTTGGTCTAAACATTCAAGGGTTATTCTGGTGAATCCAGCATACAAAAATGTTGCTTTGGCTCATATAAACTCTGCGAAACTTGTCCTTAGAGTACTTGTAATTTATTTTGGGTAAAATCATGGATGAACAATACAAGAGCGGGTGATTATTTTCGCAACTAGAGGCCAAAAGAACACACACGTTCTGGTGTAGTGTTCACGATCTATGCTGTTATTGGACTGGTCATCTGAGAAATATGGTTCAATTAGAAATATCCAATGAACATTGTGTTTTCAATCTTTTGTTTGCAGACAATTGCGGAATCAGTTGGGGACTGGTATTTCAACCGTAGACCAGCAAAACATATTGACTGCCCTTCTTTTCCGTGCAATCCTACGTGCTATAACGAGGATTTTACAAAGAGTCCATGATTTGATGAGGACTAGCATTCGAATAGTGTTCAACCTGGGAGGTGAAATTGAGCTCTTGATTCAATGCCATTTCTCAGCATACTTAGTGTGATGTCAAGGATCCAGCAAAGTTGTTCTCCCAGCTGCGTTTCTCATGGAAGAGATTGATGGTATCTTATGTGGCAGAACCAAATCATTTGTTAACTGAGGAAACATGTGAAGTTGTAAGTACTTGTTTGTCCAATAGTGAGTGGATTAACAAAGTGATTTGCATTGTCCCTTCTTTTTTGTTGTTTGTTCATTGAAATCCATTTGATGGTTTTGATTTTAGACTTTTTAGTCTGCTTGCTTGGAATCTGAATGAAGGATTTGAATCCCAAGTTCTCTCAATTCCTTTGTGACATTTGGTGTATAGCGCGAAAGCATGAGTAATAATAAAACTGTAAAAGCGTCCAAGAATCAACAAAGTAGCAGGGCAGGCTGGTTTAATGTGAAAAACCTGACCTTCTAATTGAAAATTTCAAACAAAACTCTCCTCCTTAGATTCGGCGATTAGAATATAAAGCGAATAGTCAACGTTCTTGGGTCCCTCAAATTCTGGCGTCCCTTAGGGATGAAACCATGAACTTGTTCTAGTCATTTTTTTGACTTTTCACTGCAACCATACAATACAACTTTTCGAGAAGTAACAACAATTGTTTGTACTAGAAGAAGAGATTTGACTGGACGGACATTTTTGTTTGCCTTTTGTTAAAACAAACGTCACTATCAGCATCCTGACTTCCTCTTACTGGTTCCCAACGTTAAGAAAAGAAATCGATACACAGTGATGGCGATAGTCGGAACCATTTGGTTTTTGGTTATTATCTCTTTTCAATTCCAACTAACGACCCCTTTGAACATTAATTTTGGTTAGTTTACAAGTCACGAGAACTTTGAAAAGGAATTGATTTGTAGACGCACCAAAACCAGAAGGGACTTACCCTTTTATAGAAGTAACCAAACCGTCAAACCTAAATAAAACATGGTTTAGTTGAAGGTTTGTTGAGAAATACGACATGAAAATGTTCTCAACGAATTCATATTACACTCAAACTGATTCTCTAAAAGTAACCAAAATGTCAAACCTAAAAGAAATGTAGTTTAGTTGAAGGCGTGTTGAGAAACACGACATGAAATTGTTCTAAACGGATACATATTACGCTCAAACTGATTCTCTAAATCCACTCTACCGGTAGCACTGAATTCATTCACACAGTTCATCATTGATGTCAACTCTCATGTGTTGTTGGTATCTGACTTTGACTTGTCCTCCTCATTTACTGATTATGTAACTGATAATAATAATTCATGTACTTGTACTGCCTCCCCTATTTAAAATGAGTCAAAAGTTTCTTTTTCCTTTTCATTTTTTTTTTCCATCATTTATTAGAGAAACCTACCCAACAAATCGTCACGTCTGTGCCTAACTAATCCACGAATCACATATTTGAAGTTACTCCACAACCTCAATCTCTTTGTCTGCTTGCTTCCATTCTCGTTTAGTCAACTGCTCCATTGCTAGCTGCTTCTGCTTCTTTCTTTCAGCATTTTTTTAATATTTTATTTTTGAAGAAAATGTGAGTTAATTTAGCTGTGGGGTTTGTGTTATTTGTCCGTTTGATTTGAAATTTTTCTTCGATCCCGGGCCAGTGTCAATTTCCGAATTCCAAATCCCAACTCATTCAACCAGTGAAACAAAGTCAAAATTTCTGACCCTATTATTGTGCACTACAAAGTTTGTGCTACTACAAATTACACCTTTTGACTAATCAATTGGAGTGAATGGATTTAGGTCTTAGGATTGATGAACATTAAAACTTCATAATAATTGCAATAAATAAATAATATAGTACTAGGCATGAAAATCAAAAGCGCGTAATGGACTTAATGGTATTATGATGAAGCTAATCGAGTATTTATGCCAACTGCAGCTGATTCAGAGTGCACCACACAATAAAATACAACTCCACAAGTCTTTTTTTGACTTTTTTTCTTTTTCTTCTTTTTATTTTCTCGCATAGACATGCTTTATGGCTTAAGTATCCATAATGTTCATGAACTTAGATGACATTTTTTAAAATTATCTTTGAAAACATGATCTAAGCCAGAAATATTTGATGACTGGAAAATGAAGAGCACAAATTCTGAAAACAGGTAAAAAGGGAAATAAGATGGAGGTTTGTTGTAATTTGTAATATTTGGATAATGAACATAACCGTATCTTACATAAAAGGGTCCCCAAGGGTAAAAAATCAATGAATATGTTAAGCCTAGATGACTACTATGGGCATTTCTTTGGGAAAAATGCACATCCTCCAAAGGCTTTTCATTACCAAAATTTCATACTCTCTAAAATCCCGTTTGAAGAGGAACGGAGGAGGGATATTGGCTCCTATACATTCCCTCCCACGAAATAGGTACATTCTCAATTTGAGCCTAGCTGTATACTATGAACACTAAAGGGAATATGAGGTTTAAAGAATGAAGGTTTCTGTACGTTTTTGTCAATCACTTTTTAATTTACACAGATGACCGCCATATCCTTCCTTCAAAGGAAATCACAATTACGGATACATCATCATGGTATCTTCGGCGATCTCCTTGTGGGATATCGAGTAACTCATGGAAATCCATACCTGCAATGTACCAAAATGTTTTGACATTATTAGACCCTTCAGATGCTAAAATGTGCTCAAAACTTACTGCATTATCAATAGAATCGGATAGATGTACTTACCGGCTTTCTTAGCAGCACGAAATAGAACTTCCTCCACGAGATGTTGTGCAGGATCCCCCTCAGGAAAGGAAGTCATGAACATCTCGACTTCGCTCACAGCTTCTTCATTGGTTAAGTACTGATACAGGCCATCTGAAGAGAGGATCAAAAACCGGTCCTTTGGACCGAGTCTATGGTGATAAAGCGAAGGCAAACATGATATGTATGGTGATGATCCGATGTAGTCAATTCTGAACATCTCTAGGAGCGCGTCGTTCCACTTGGGCTGCAGGATCACAGTAAAAGAAGAGCATTAGATTCAATTTCCCAATAAACACTTTGAATTCCAAAATAGGAAACTGGCAAACTATCTATCATAGTAAACAGACAATGCCGGTAACCATTTTATAACATTACAATGCAAGCATAATAAGACTTGATCAAATAATTATGGTATGGTGGTCTCTTCAAAATATTGTAAGACTATATTTATACTTACATACTACATCAGTTTATCACTAAACTCTGCACTAGCTCAACAGAACTATATACCAAGACTATTGGATTGCAAGCCTATTGCCGTATTTACCTGCTTAAGAAAGCCAGCACCAAAAGCTCGAGTAACCTTCAAGGAACCTTTTACTCTATCATTGACTATGGCCAAAGGATCATCTGGATGCTCACTTCTAATCCTCTGTAATTCCTGTAACAGATCACATTTGAATGGTTTAGTACACACTTCAAAGATATAAGCAAAACTTACACAGCAGTGGAAACAGAATGCTCACCTCTTTCACAGAGGTACTGTGATCTGTAGTGAGTTGATGTGAACTCAAATGGTGGAAATTGCTGAAATCATCTCCATCAAATGCTTCAAGATCATTCAGACTTTCCTCCTTTATCCTTTCTAAATCCTTCCTAGTCGCCTTCCCATTCCAACCATCAGACTCACCATTTTTGGCCAAAATTGCTCTACTATCCCCAACATTCATCAAGTAAACATCATCCCCCTTCATCAACATAGCCAAAACACAAGATCCCATCAAAGCTAATTCTGGATTCTCCATCAGCATCATATCCGCTATCTCCAAATAAGATTCTTCAGTCTTCTTCAAAGCCTCCGATAGCGCTTTCAACACATCCGTATGATTAGTACCCGCCACGCCATCTGGTCCCTGATTACTCCACTTCTTCAAATCACAGTCCACCACAATATCTCCATTACCTTCCACTCTATGTGATCCGTCAAATTCGTTACCATTCCCTTCCTTCTCCAGGGATTCTGACTTGTCATTCCACCATAGTCCTTTAAGCTCCTTACAAACATTTGAATAGAGATGGTTTGCCAGGAAATCGGTGGCATCAGGACCATTAAATCCATCATAAATTCCAACAAAAACCCACCCATCTTCTCCAGAAATCACAATATGTACTCTATCCTCACCAGCCTTCCCTTGAGCCCATTGCACATTTTGACTACCAAAGGATTCATTTCCATCATCATAATTATTATCATCACCCAAGCTCATTCTACAGCTCAGATTATTACTAGTGCTATTGCTACCACTAACTGTGCCATTCTCATTATTTTTCTCAACCCAACTCAATTCAGCAGAACTCCAAAACGACTTTGAAATAACTTTCTTAAAACTTCTAATTAAAGACCATTTCTTGGGTCTGGGTCTGTACCTCTGCAGCTGATCATATTGATTCTCCAAAGGGCCAGAAATAAAGCTCCGCTCAATCGGGCCGGACAGGAAACCCCGCTCAACCGGCCCGGATCCCTGACACGAAACCCGAGGAATCGGGCCGGACCTTACCGAAGAAATAGATTTCCGGGGAATCGGCTGGAGTGGAATTGAAGCAAATAAATTTGAGCTCTCAAAAGCAGCAGCTTTATCCAAGGAAGCGTTGTAAGGGCCAAGGTCAATAAGAGCCGTCGATAGAGGAGTTGAAGTGTTGGCAGAGATGGAGGCGCCGGAAATTGTACGGAAAGCCGTCGTCTGAGTGCTGGCCGATGAGTCCTCCGACGAGGAATGAATGGTCTTGGAGTTGGAGAAAGAGTCCGGCTTGATGTAACAGAAAGAATGGCCTAATCCTTCGTCCATTGGGTCGGATAAATAGACGGCGATATCATGATGTCGGCGTGATATCTCCCCTGCATCTCCGGCGAAGCAGAGGTTCAGCTTCCTCATTCCGTTTCCCATTTTCTAAACCAAATATATTATTACCCACCCTGTTTTATTCTTCTCCACACACACACACACACACACACACACACACACAAAAAATCACTGAAATTTGGAAACCATATGTAGCTGCAGAACCGATAGAAACTAACAGAAATCGGATGGAAATTGGGTGTGAAATTATGAATTGTGGGAGTTGAATTGAAAGGGAAAAAATGAAGAAGGTGGGAAGGGGGTGGATATTGATGTGGGGGGAAGAGGACAGTTGACTTTGGGAAGAAAAAGGAGAAAATGAAGGGGGGGGCAATATAATATGCTACAAGTAGTAGTAGTACACTAGTTCCTCTTCCCTTTTTTTCTTTTTTTTTTCATTTTGTTTGTTTATTCGATGCCATTGGTGGGCTGCTCAACTGGATTACCCCCAGGAGTTGACTTTGAGTTTTTATTAAACTACTACTTTCTTTTAAAATTAGTTTCTTGGAGTGGGAATGGGAATAATGCTCTTTTATCCTTCTTTTTTCTTCTTTCTTTTCCTTTTATTTTATTTTAAATGTAATTATTAAATAGTTATTCAAACTTTCTCGTCATTGTGAGCCTCGTCGTAAGCTCAATGGCTTGTGGCTTGTGGCTTGTGGCCTTATTATCTTTTGAAGTGGGAATATACTTTCCGATCACTATTTTTCCTCATTTATATTATTTATTAATAGAATCTTCACTGTCAATAATAATGATTAATTTCGAGATTCGAACTTTCGACATATAATTAAAAGTGGAGTAGTCTCTTCCACTTCACCACTATCCATTTGGCTAAAATTTTTTAAAGATAAAAGTAAAATATACCACACGAATCTATTTATGTATACATTTTTTGTTCAAGAAAGATATTTAGAAGTTTTGAAAATAAAAAATTTACAAACGAAGATCTGAAAAAGAAGAAAAGAATTTATCCTTATGCAAGAGAATTATGTAAGATGGTTAGAAGATTAAGGTTGTTACTCACGAACCAAAGTTTAAACAATAAGGATTTTAATACTTCTTTTGGAGTAAAAGAAAAACGCTTTTGTTAAAGTAAAATAGAATTACAAAGTGAATGGAGTATTAACCACGACAAGACAGACCGAATTATATTTTAGAAGAAGAAAACAAAAAATAACAGAGCCAAAAAAAAAATATGTGCAGGGAACATTCATTGCTTAAAAAAAAAAATACAATCGTCTTAGTGGCTCGTGGCTCGTGGCTTGTGGCTTGTAGATTGATGGCTATTGGGGAAACAGCAAGCAAGAAAGAACTCGAGAAGGAAGTCTCCTCATGGAGTCGCATAGTAGTAAACTAGTAATGGCGTAATAAGGTTGTAAGCGCGTGGGTTGAATTATGCTAAGAATTCTGCAGATTATGAAATGGATCGTGAACACAAATGACAAATGAAGAAGGGATCGTGAACACAATTGGCCCAAAGTGGTGGAAGGGATGAGCTGGACTTTAGGTGATGGGACCAGAGTAAAGTTTTGGACTGATAAATGGATCATAGGCCTGCCCTTACTTATATCCATTACAGTTGGCCGAATTACACCGGAACAACTACTGAGGACGATGAGCAGCTATATCAACCTACAAGGGCAGTGGAGTTGGGAGGAGTTCCAAGACCTACTTCCGGCAACGGCGGTCCTCAGAATAGCAGTGACGCTCCCCCCAAAATCGATGTTAGGTGCTGATACTATGTTTTGGGCCTTTGATTCACAGGGAAGTTTTACTGTTCGCTCTGTTTATTGTGCCCAGACTCGGGGACCAACCCCTTTGTCGGAGGTTGTATGGAGGTCGATTTGGACATGGCAAGGGCCACAAAGAGTGAAGACCTTTCTTTGGCTGCTGGTGAAGGGACGGCTACTCACGAACGTCGAGAGAGGGAGACGCCACTTAACAGAGGACAACTCCTGTCCTAGATGTCTAGATGCGGAGGAGGATTAATCCATGCTGTTAGAGATTGTCCAGCGGCGCGGGAGGTATGATTACAACTTGTCCCTGCTACGCACCTTCTCAATTTTTTCAATTGTGATCTCATTGCTTGGGTTATGAACAATGTGCAAGATGTTGAGAAAACTGGGGAGGGATGGCCTCTGACCTTTGGAATTGCTGTTTGGAAAGTATGGAACTGGAGGAATGGATATGTTTTTGAGAAAGAGATCTCCATATCAACCAGAAAGTATGGGAGATCTTCAGGAAGGAGAAGGAAGTGAAGGACGCTTTAGCGTATGCTAAACGAATGGGGGCACCAACCCTCAACAAGGAGAGAAGAATGATCTCATGGAAATCCCCAACTGAAGGTTGTCTCAAAATTAATACGGATGGCGCGGTCGACTGGGCGACGGGCTTAGCAACTGCTGGAGGAGTCATTCGTGACTCGGTTGGGTGTTAGCGCACTGGATTTCTGTTAAACATTGGCTATTGTTCTGTGATTGGAGCGGAGCTATGAGGACTCTTCCAGGGACTCTGCCTTGCTTGGAATAAAGGGTTCAGATGGCTGGACGCCAAAATAGACAACCTGAGTGTCCTCCACATGATTCTACAGGAAGACAAACCTCCATGCGCGCTTGAAGGTCTTGTACGAGCGATAAAGGAATTGGACAGGGATTGAATGGTAGAAGTAAGTCATACTTATCGGGAAGCCAATTTTGTAACCGACTTTTTGGCATCTTTAGCGGAAACGAATCCAGGGGGTTTTACTCGACTGGATTCGCCACCACCAGGAGCACTTTGGTGGCTAAATCATGATGTACTAAGGATCGCGTACCCTAGAGATGTAGTTGTGTAATCTAAATGATTAACACGTCCTTTTGAATAAAAAAAAATGACAAATGAAGAAAGAAAAAAAAAATTTTAAAAAAAAAGGAAGAAAAGAAGAAAACAAGCAAAATGGGAGCCGATAGAAAAGTCAACCTCTCTCCAATATTGGGATTGTTGCTATAAAGCTTTGCTCTCTCTCGATGTTACTTTGCCATGTGGGAATAAATCCATGCCACGTCATCCTCATTACTACATTTCACATCCTTACTCTTATGTGTCATCATCGTTTTGCCATATATAAGTTGACTTTAGTTTTTCCTTTTCTTCTTTTGAACTTCCTGCTCTTTATGACCATAGTATGTTAATGTTAAAACATTTTAACAATAATCTGAAAATTGATGTTCTTTTTTTCGTTAGGTAGAATGCACAAATTGAGTTAATTTGTGTTTTATCTTACTCCCTCCGTCCCACAAAAATAATCAACATTGCATTAGTTTTATACTATTATTTTTAATACAAATTTGAAAACTCAATGTGGACTATTTCTTGAAGGACAAAAGTAGTACTATTTATGATCATATTTTTTTAAAAAATATATTCTATAATGCGTATATATATATATAAATATGAGTAATTATTAAGGATTTTTCGTCTTTCACTTCGTCTAATTATAGTGTAGGTTGCCACTTGCTAATATTGGCTCCAAATTGTTTCAAGTTTCAACCACTATTTTTGTCATTTGCGCTACTCATCACGCCAATTCATTCGTTAATAACTCAAAATATAAATATTCCAATTTGCTCAAATTTTTGGGCTGGCCATTTGTTTTTGCATTCAAGTTTTGGTCTTTGGGGGTAATGATTTTCCCTCTTGTTTGTTTGTTGGTTTTTAAAGCTAATAATGTGGGTGTTTTTTTTTTTTTAACAAGTCAAAAGGATGAAGATTGTGTTTGTGGATTTGTGGTGGTGTGGTCTTCACTCTTTTAGGGAACTGATTAATGATGTCATTATTATCTACAATCATGCATTATTATCGTGGTGGCAACCAAGATAAATCATAAATGCAGTGTTTGACTTTTTGCAATTTTATTTTGAATTTTAAATGTTTCCTGCCTCCATCGGTACTAATTGGTGTTTTACTTTTCAGGCACCTGAACCATTAATTGCTTGCTTGCCCCTGTGTCATCAGTTTTTCCAATCAGCAAACTTGTACTCCCTCCATTTTTTTTATATATCTTTTTAGAAAAGTCATCAAAATCAATAAAATGTAATTAATTTAATTAAAATACAAAAATATCACTATTAATTGTCTACATAATTCATTACAAATTAATAAATATTCATTATAAATATTATTTCATTTTTAATACAAAGGCAATTTTGATAAAAAGTGATCAAATATGTCTCGATTTGTGAAAACGACATATATTTAAAAAAATTCACCAAACCCTAAAATGACATATATTTCAAAATTGAGAGATTAAAAGATTATAGTAATAGTCTCTCATTCCTGCCATAACAAGGCAATTATATTAAAATCGATATGAAAAAAAAATTAATGATACAGGAGATAGATTTTTGCATTGAGAAATTGGTAGATATGTTACGTTCATAATTATATTCACTATGGTCCTTAATACAAGAATAAATTATTATTTTAAATAATTAATAAAAAATATATTCATAGTACCAAAAAAAAAAAGTAGTCATAGTAAAAAAGGTTCATACTTCTTTTTGTTAAAAGAAAATTTTCATTCACTTCACTTTTGCTGGAAATCGTTTAGCTGTGTTTGATCGGCGACCAAACAGAACATTCAGTATCACTATTCTTAGCTATATATGTAAATTCATGAGCTATTGCATTTTCCGAACGTCTAATCCAAAAAAAAACCCTAAAGGATGTATTAGGTGGATCAAAAGGTTCATACTTCTTAGACAAAAATAAGCCGCTAACCAAATTAAAGTTTAGTTAACTTAAAAAGGAGTAAACTTGAAGTACATTATAAATCAAATAAAATCTTAAAAAATTAAATATGTTATAAATAGTGTTGAGTATCTCACATTAGTGGTGAGAGAGGTTTGATATCAGTATATAAGACTATGTGTTACTTCCCTCATTGCCAATTGGTTTTGAGATGGAACTCCATGGGCTTTTATATTGTATCAGAGCTAGTCTGTCAAAAGTCGGACTCCAAGCCTGATGTGATAGGAGGAGTGTTGAGTATCCCACATCGGTGGTGAGAGAGGTTTAATATCAGTATGTAAGAGTATGGGCTACCCCCTCATTACTAATTGGTTTTGAGGTGGAACCCCATGAACTTCTATAAATATATTGACTTTTTAATTTACATTATAAATAATTGGGTTTATATCAAAAACATACTCAAAGTTATATATATAAAAAAAATCCCTAAATCAGCAAATCAATTATCAAAGGATCCTCCAATGACTGCAAACTGATGCATGTTTATGAAATCAGCAAAAAAAAATATCAACTGTAATAAAATCAAATATTCACTTTAAATTCAAAATTTACTTTCTACAAACCTCTTAAAATCTAGGATGGCTGCTTTAGGGGGTTTATGAAAAATAAACTTTGGATGTAGAAGTGAACATTTAACTTTGTTAGAATTTGGAAAAAAAAAATATATATATATATACATATATAAGATTTTTTTGCGGGTAGAAACAACTTTTTGACATTCTTTCGATTTGTTTCATATGTATACATCAATTTCTGGTCGTCGGAGAACCCTTTGATACATGACTTGTCGATCAAAGGATTTTTATAATTTTTTTTAAAAAAAAATAGTAAGAATGTTTCAGATAATCAACTAAAGTTAAATGATATTTTTGGTGTTAACCCTAAATAATTTGCAAAATGCTTGGATCGCTACATTTCCTATGTGGTAATGTTTTCAAATACATATTGACTTTCTTTCTTTTTTTTTATCATTCAAAGTCAAAACCAAAATAGCTTTCCTAGGTTGGGTACTTGTGTTGATGACTATATTTGCCCAATGAATTTGATTTCTGGAATTGACTTTTAGGCATGGGAAAAAAAAATTTGTAACCTAATGTTAGCAGCTAATAAAAAGAAAGAAGGAAAATAAAAAAAGAGAATATCAAGGTAAAAAAATTGCCAAGAATTAATTGTCAACTTTGGACCGTGTCCCCTGTTCCATTCTTTTTTTTTTTAAAAAAAAAAAAAAATCCCCTGTTCCATTCAAAACACTGTTCATCACCCGGAGTGACGGACAATTTTACATAATAAAAAAATAAAAGTTGGCTTAAAAAAAAAAAAGAAAAAGAAAAGACAATGCAAGACAAATGAGTGTACAGGATGCAGTGAACTAAATTACCGACATTTCCCTTAATCTATGAACTTTCGACGACCTAAGGACTAATTAACCTCTAATTAGTAATTAGTGCCACTTAAGATGATACGATGAACTTGATATAACATCAAGAGTTTAATTCCATTATGCGCTTATTTAAATTTATGAAGTTTCTAGTAAAATTAATGTTTTTGCTCCGAAGTTCTATTACTTAAAGAACAATATATATAAACAAATTTGTTGCAGGAAAATAGAATTACAAAGTCAGATTGTTTGGTAGTCTATAAGGCTCTTCCACCTCAAAATCAGTTGGCATGGGAGGAGTTCTATATGAGACTTATATGTTGGTCTTACTATTTTTAATGTGGGACATTTGATAATACTTAAAAACTTATATAAATACACATATGGTATTATCTCAAAATATTGGTCTTACATTCTCAATGTGGAATATGTGGTAACTTTTGAATGCTCATATAAATCCACATTTTTTATTGTGATTTCATCTCAAAATCAATTGACAATTAGGAGAGTAACACATATAACTTATATGTTGATCTTACTATTTCCAATGTTGGACAAGTGATTTTCACTTATTTCAAGTTTAAAGGGATTGTAGCACCTTTCTCTCAAGCCTAAAAAAATTCGATTCAACCATTTAAACTCTGGATAAATTGTCGGGTAAATTAAAACTTAACACGAACAAATCAAACTTCTCAGATATACTATCGGGTCAGTCAATGTCAAAAATAATTTAGACTCTCATCTCAAAACCAATTAGCAATGAATAGTTTGACTCAAAAAACTTATAAATAGGTCTCAAATTTCACACATGGGAGATATGAGATTCTTTTCCCAACTACCTCTCTTTAGTCCAATGGAATTGTACAAAAACAATATGACTTAACAGTCGTTACTGGATCAAAAGATGAAGAATAATTCATCCGTCATTGTTGGATCAAAGGACGGATAACAAAAGACAATAGACTCACGCGTGTAACATCCTGTCCCACATCGCCACATGACAAAGTGAATGACATGTATATAAGTCTAAGTCTCATTAATTACTAATAACTTGAGTTAACCATTTTGGACTAGCAGAGATGTAAGCCTGAAAGTTGTTGGGGTCAGTCTACGAGGCTGGAATATTACAAATGGTATCAGAGCGGGTCTAAAAGTTAAGTGCTATGTGTGGACACATCTCTAAGGCTACTGACGGGATAAATGCAAAGCTTGGGAACCACCTCTAAAATCCTATTATGGGAGAAAGCTAGGCCACATTCTTGCTTGTTGGGCTTTGCGAGGACGCAAAGATCCAAAGGAGGTAGACTGTAATATTCAGTCCCACATCGCCACTTGACGACTTGGGTTAATAATTTTGGACTAGCAAAGACGAAAGTCTAAAATTTGTTGAGCCAGTCTATGAGACTGGGATGTTAGAACGCGGGTTCATAAGACAGAGAACAAAAAACAATGGACTACACAAGTCCACAAGACAAAGCTCCGATACCATGTCAAAAGTAATTTGAGCTCCCATCTCAAAATCAATTGATAACAAGTTGGGTGGCTCAAGAAACTTATAAACATGTCTCAGACTTTACACACGGGCTACGTGAAATTCTTTTCTCGACATTTAAAGCCTAATACATGTAAGTTAAATCGAATAACGCAGCCGAATCGATCAAAATCCACCCATAAGTCTACGGGACAAAAACCTCTATAATACTATTTTGAAGGTCCATATAAGCTCATATTGGTTCCATCTCAAAATTAATTGGCAACGAAAGAAGTAGCATATGAGACCTGTATATAAGTCAATATGAACAACTATTTCTAATTTGAGGTAAGTGTCTTTCACTTGTTTTCATTATTTACCCGTCCTTATCCCGCTAACATTGGTAAAAGACAACAATAGTTATAAATATTTGGGCAAGATAATTGGGTGAGATCTAACCTTTGAATTGTGAGTCCTGTTGATCAGTACCAATTGAAATGTTCACGCTTCTTTTTTTTTTTTTTTAACTACACAAAATCAATGCAATAACACAAAATCCAGCTTTAAAAAAGTAAAAAAAAACTAAATAAATAAATAATTATCAACGGCGTTTTTTACTGATAACATGGAAGGAAAGGACAAAAAGGAACAAAGTATTGATGAATGGGGAACTAAATTGGAAGAAACTAGCCAAAAAAATCCGACTGAAAGTTAGTACATGCTCTTAAAGGTTGGAGTCTTTGCTATGATCTTGTAATCTCAAACTTCATCACCCGTTGAATATTACTCCCTCCGTCCCACAAAAATAGTCCACTTTGAGTTTTGAGTTTTATATTATTTTTAATACAAATTTAAAAAGTCAATGTGAACTATTTTTGTGGGACGGAGATGGTATCATTTATTTGTATGTTGTACCCATTAAGAGATCTCAATTCAAACAGTGAAAGTTTGAAGATCTGCACGAAATTCTCGATAAGCGAAACAATAATGTAAGATGATTCATAATGCAAGAACAAATTCAAAGTGAAAAATATTTCACAATCACATTTTAGTTTCAGCACACTTTAAAATGTGAAAAACATAGACGGATCATATCTAAAAGGTTAGATGGACTATGAGTTATTTATAGATATAAGAAACAAATAGTGAATTAAACGTTAGTAAGGATTCATAATATGATAAGATTTGTTTAAAATTTAGAAATTTAAGATGAGTTTTTTTATAAAAAAAAAATTAAAAATTGATATGGATGAACTAATTTTATTTTTATAAACTAACCAATGTGTTCATACACCGATTAGTTAATTTGCAATTGTTTTTTATTTTATTTTTTTTGAGAAAATACTTATTTTGGATTAGTTTCATTTTTTAGTAACTTTCAAATTTAAAAAAGTTAGGAATTAATGATTGATAGAGTTGTATTTAATTATTTTCACTAAATAAAATGTGAAAATTATATTAGAGTAAAATCGTTTTTACATGTTGATATTAACATGACACGTGTTTGAAGAAATTTTTCAGTTTTGTCATACCATGACCTCTAAATAACTGAGGCAAAACCAAATAAAATGTGGGCCAAATGACTATAGATTGGGCCCTCGGAAATGGACAAGTTCATCCAATTGAAGCCTAAAGAACAAATCAGTTTCACTTAATTTGATGATGATCGAATTCAAAAGCAGTAGTTCCATTTCCGAAGATGAAGTCCAAATTCCAGAAGTTGATTGGTATTGAATGCAACAATTCAAAGAGGGTGAAGGAAGGAGAAGGTTCATGAAAATTTGGGAGTAGAGAAATTCTCAAATTCCCACCTTGTGTTGCGCGGTGGTGTGTGACTGTGTGTAAGAAGAGACTGTTAAAAGTCTGGCCTAATTATGTGGCTTCTCCACCGCTCCATGCCTAGCGTGTCTTCCACTAATTCCATTTCATGGACAACTACGAAAAAGGATTTCCCAATTTCCCCTTCCTTTTGGTCGGAATTCTTAACAGAAGAATTCCTCCTCTTCTTCCATTTGATAACTAGTAATCCATCTGGGCAAAAGCTTTTGTCTTCATCTATGCATTTACTGAATGCAGGTATAATCAATCTCTAACCTCTCCGGGAATTTGAACCCAATGATTCTTTTTTTGATGCATCTTCCTTCTTCATTTGGATTTTCTTCCCCCCCAATCCACGTTTGTTGATCTGATGATAGATCGCTAGTGGGTTATCGGTTTCGTTTTTTGTATTCTTCGGGTTCCGGGAAATACAAAACTTTTTCGCTCGTATCTTGATTTTCATTAATTCAAGAACATCAACGGAGAGATTGCATTATCTAACGTATAATTCTTCACTGCATTTGATGAACATGTCCAAAAGCTCGATAGGTTGAGTGCTGCATTATATGAATCATCGTTGTGATACTCTGAATTGGGTCATTCGAAATTGACATTGGACAGGTTTTTAGGCCTACAATTTTAACAGTAAATCGGGTTATTAATAGCCAGCTTCAATTGGGACCCAATGGGGAAGAACTTGCAGCAGGAAGAGTCGATCATGTCTCTGCAACATGGTAATCCAGGGTGCATAAAGGGCATTTTTCATCATCTTAACCACCGCAAGTGGTACAATGTCAAAAAAAGAATCCCATATAGAAGGCACAGTGGTGGAAAGCATAGCACTGGTAATTATAGCAATAACACAACTTATTTTGATCCCTTATAGTAGTTTAACTTTAATTTTGTTATTCAATTTTTAAGTGAGAATTGCTTTTACTGGTTGAAGATCCTGTTCATATCGTACCTACAACCGATGTTGGTGAAGTACCAGAGAAATGTGATGCTACAACTCCTAAATCTTCTTCTGTAAGTTGAGTTGAAAGTACATTTAGTGTAGCTATCCTTACATTCACGCCTAAAGATCAGTGTTCATTGCTTTTAAGTTGTGATTTGAGGCCTCAAAATGCCTTCTAATTTATCAGGCTCATGGAAGATCCACCGAATCCAGTACAGGACATCATAAAAGCTCCATGACATCTCGAATAAAAGCCATGATCACCGAAGAGGTCTGTAGGAGAAAAGGGCGTCATCGTCGCAGTTCCTCTTACCCAACACGAATGCCCACAGATGAAGCGCCATTAGTTCATCGTGTGGATAACCCTGAATTAGATCCTTATGCGGAAACTGCAGTGATAAGTAATGATTCATTGGACCAGCAGGATAATGATCTGCATTCTTTAGTCTCCAGCTTACTGGATCCTCTTCTCCCGACTATCTGTGGTGAATCGGGCAAAACTGGTGAGACTTGTCCTTTATGTGCTTCCATGCATACTAAGAATTACTTGAGGCAAAGCGAATTGGGAGAGCAATTAGTGAAGGATCATACTGTGCTACAGGATGAGTTGGTTTATGCGATAGAGCCAAGTAAAGTTGCTTCCATCCAAGAGTCCAGGCTTTTTTTTGATGCACTGGATTTGCTTAACATCAGGAAGGAATTGTTTTTAAAGGTTTTGCAGGATCCAAATTCTTCATTGGCACATCATCTTCATCATAATCAGAGGGCAACAGCTTCAAGATTGGGATTGTTAACAAAGTCTGTGTCATTTCCTGCTCCTATATCATCAGGAAATAGAGCTCCTTTATCAAACAATCATAAACCTCATGTCTGCATTCAGGACACAAATGGCAGTGGAGTCACATCTTCAGAAGCTGTACAGGGAAAGTTCATGGTGGAAGCCAGTACTTCTGCTGATTCACCAGAGCCAAAGGAGTTGAGGAAACCTCATGTGAACAAACTCATCATGAAGCGGTTCAAAAATCTTAGAGCAAAAATAACACTTGCAATTAAGGAAAGCAGAAAGGAGAGACAGAGAATTGTAATGGATGGGGTATTGGATAAAATACCTTACGGGTACCCAAAAACTGTCACTGAAGAGGGTGTTATGCAGAATGACTATGTTGCACAGAATTGGTGTAAATATATTCCTGGTGACGGTTCTAAAAATGATCAATTTTTTTCGGGCAATAGTGGACGACAGGGTGTAATGAGAAGAACAGCATCTTTCAGCGAACCATTAAGTAGATACAATCGATTACTTGAATTATGTTCTAGGGCAGAAGTAAACAATCACAAAGCCGATGAATCAAACCAGAAAACTGGTACTGGCAGTCCAATATCCATGGCAAGAATTCTTTCATTGCCTGATATGAGGTCTTATTCCTTTTCCCATGTGGAGAGATTGACAGCAACAAATTCTTCGGATATGGCTTTGAGGCCTGATCCAAGGGCAATCTCGAGTGCAGAAATTAGTAGTCTTGTAAATAAGAAGATTGCCGCTTTTGAAAATAAAGTTCCCATTGTTCCCTCTTTGGGAAATGATAGCGCCCAAGCCATCAATGGAATCCCAGAGCCCTCCAATGAATCAGTGGTTTTAGAGAAGAGAAGGAGTATAGATGACCAGGATATAAGTATTGAGCTCCTAAGTGATATTGCAGATGACCCAATAATGGAGGTGGATGCTACTGTACCAGAAGGTATTTTTCTGAATGATTTACTAATAATTTACATAAATTGTAGAGACATACATTATATTCATTATAAGAGAGAAACTTACATTTATGAAGTCATGTAGATTCTTATGAGTTATGGCAATACAAAAATACTTGGATGATGGTACTGCATTAAAATGTGAACTTTTTCTTTGTGATTTTATTGGAGATCAGATTCAGAATTAGCGCGAGATGGGGAACCGCACGCAGAGGACCTGATTCCTCAAGAAGAAGAGTTTTCTTTGTTAAATCTGCAGAACGAATTGCGTATGGATATCTCCAGTTCACGCGAAACAGATACTCCACAAAGACAAACCTACATTAATGATCCCTTGTGCATTCAGGTTGACATGAAAAACAGAGCGGATTTCAACTATGTTAGAGATGTGTTGGAGTTATCCGGCTTAATTGGAACCGAATTCCTTGGCAAATGGTACTCAGAAGACCAGCCAGTTGATCCAAAGTTTTTCGATGAAGTAGAAGGTTGTGTATTAGCTCAACCTGGTTGTTCTGGAAATGAAGAGGGCGGCAGCTGCAATCACCTTCTCTTATTTGATTTAATCAATGAGGTTTTGTTAGAAATTTATGGCAAGACATTTTCTTACTGGCCGAAGCTGTTAACTAGCTGTTCACAAATTCATCCAATGCCGGTTGGTTATCATGTTTTGGAGGATGTTTGGTCTACTATCAATTGGTACTTGCGACGGAGGCCTGAAATTGATCCATCCCTTGATGATGCCGTGAACCATGATTTGTCGAAAAACGATGGATGGATGAATATTCAGTTTGAAGCTGAATGTGTAGGTATTGAGCTGGAAGATTTGATCTTTGATGATCTTCTAGAAGAACTTGTTTTTCTGATCTTTGAATTCCTGTAGTATACAAGGGCTACTTTGGTTCTGTATACTGCGTAAAAACATAGCTTAGCAACTTTGTGGATTGGATCTCCCTATTCTTCCAGAGTAGAGATAGTGGGAAGATGAACTCGGCATTATGTTTTGGTTAGATGTTAGGATGTAAAAGAGGGAGTATAGTTTCCAGGGTTGTTAAACGATTTTGATTGTTGATAGTGTTAATCTATTTATATTGGCAGAATAATAAAATGGAAGAACATATCACTTGGCTCTAGCTGGCACAAGTGTGGCGACGTGTGTAACGGTTGGTTCTTAATTTCTTTTTCATTTTTGCATATCTGAGACGTTATTGTGTGCTTGGAAAGACGAATTTTTACTGAATTGCTCTCCCATTCTTCCTTCTACTCTCTCATTAAATATCAAATTAATAATACAATATGAAAGATCATTTTGGGAGGTATGGATTACATTTTTCTTACTACTACATATGGTTCTCAACATAAGCTCTCGAAATTTGTACTCATGATCACTTTTACACAGATAACCTTGGCTTCCAAATTTCAATGTCACCTCCTTTTATTGAGACAAGGAAAAAAAAAGTTGGGTTTGGAGAACGTAGTAAACAAGAGCATTTCTTTGGAGTTCTTTATGCTATGTATGGTTCTTTTTCCTCAACCTATTTGGTTTGTAGGGAAGCTGAAGAGTAGGCTCGTGGCTGACATAGAAGTTATTTCTGCGGAATCAGTGCAAGGCAAAGTAGTTGGAATGTGATGAAGGGATTGACTTTGCACTGTTGAAAGGTGAACTCTTCCTACACTTTGTTTTCATTAATGCAAAATATTCTAACTCCTTGATTGATTGATGATGTTAAGTAGGATTATATTCATGTGTACATATGTTTCCTCGAGTTTGAATCTTTTACCTTTGAATTAACTTGAACCTTTGATAGTGCTAAATACTTAATTGCTTCTTTCATTTTCAAAACCTTATTGGATGTTTTGATTGAGGAATGGCAACTGAAAGTCGGTTCCTCATTAGTTCAGCCTTTTCAATATCTCGTTGTGTTCTTAATAGTTATGTTCTTCTCACTGGCTTAGAGATGTTCAAAAAAATATGTTTGTTTGATTTTTTAAGTGTGTATTTTTAAGTATTTTTTATATTAGGAATGTAAAAAAATATGTTGGAATGAGACATTTATTAATAAAATAAACTGAAAAAATCATTAAAAAAATCAAACAAACAGAGCCACCGTCTTTTACTTCATGTGAACGCTAAGATAGGATACATAGGCACTTTAATCTATTCTATACATACACAGGCCCTGTAATCTATTCTTGCAGACACACCATAATTAGTTAATTAAACACATATTCCCTCCGTCCCATAATTATTGTCCAATTTTGATTTTCATTTTTAGTTTAATTTATACTAGAAGTGAAAATCTAAACTAGACAATAATGTTTGGACAAAAGGAGTACAAAAGTCCATAATTCTTCAACAAACTACAGATCCACATCATACCCAAGACATAACAGAGGCAAAACAAAACAGATAACCTAATTTCCCAGCCGCAGTAGTCAATAACCCTAATTTCCGCCCTTGTCCTTGCCCTTTGTCACGTCCTAACCTGGACCGATGGATCTACTTAACGGCCCAGTCATCTGATTGGGCCCTAGGCGCCAATGAGTCTATTTAATACTCCACCTGATAAAAAATGATTATCTTGTATAGACTTTTGCTTTCAATATAATTTAGGGATAAGGATAAAAATCAGAAATAATGTCGTTTCTATCCAAATCTTTGCTTTCATTGTCAATCATATCTAATAGATTTTCGGTTAGCCAACTTTACCATAATGTTTGAAATTTCGACAATTTCGTCCAATCGGCCCATTTTTCGTCCAAATTAACGGATCTCCGTTGGTTTTTTAATAAAATAATAAATTTAAATACAAAAATATCCCAGTAGTTTGTAAAAATTTTAAAAATAATCCTTAAAATATATAAAAATAAAAAAATAGTCCCTTTTCACTTTTTTATTTCATTTTTCTCTCAACTACTTTTAATGACCATAAAAGTATATTATATGAGTTTTAAAAAATATTTATTTATTTTCAAACTCTATCGTAAAAGTTAATCTTTATATAGTTGTAACACATGATTGTATTTATATAAGCATGTTAATCGTTTTAATAATATAGTTTAGAAATAAAGACACTATTTTTCTGATTTATTTTATTCTTCCTAACATAAAGATTAAAAATATTTAAATGAAACTGATATTCTACATAAAAATAAAATATTAGCTCAAATAAAAAAGTAATATATTAGTATAGTTTAGTGTATTATAATTTAACTAGAGAGACAACATGCATAATATAATTTATAAAAAATACGTTTATACTTGTCAATGCGAGGATTTAACATTTTGTAATAATTATTTGAGATGTTAATATATCTAACTATAGAGGAAGTCTTACTAGCTTATTCTATATGATTTTAGTTTAAAATAAATGAATAGAGGTAACAATATGGTAATAAGTTGTTGTGATAGAGAATAGGTTTTAGATTCAAGAAGGAAAACTTATGTTTGGAGGATTTTTTTAAGGTTTTAATTATTTTATACTTTTAGTTAATTTTTATGAATTATATTAATACAAGTTATAGTCTCTTGAGTTAAATTGTAATACGCTAAAATATATTAATATTTTTTTATTTGAGCTAATATTTTATTTTTATGTGGAATATTAGTTTCATTTAAATATTTTTAATCTTTATGTTAGGAAGAATAAAATAAATCAGAAAAATAGCTTATTTATTGCTAAACTATATTATTAAAAATTAACATGCTTCTATAAATACAATCATGGGTTACAACTATACAAAGATTAATTTTTACGGTAGAATTTGAAAATAAATAAATATTTTTTTTAAACTCATATAATAGACTTTTATGGTCATTAAAAGTAGTTGAGATAAATAGAACAAAATAGAGAAAAATAAAATAAAAAAAGTGAAAAGGGACTGTTTTATTATTTTTATATATTTTAGGGGTTATTTTAAAAATTTTTAAAAATTACTGGAGTGTTTTTTTAATTAAATTTATTATTTTATTAAAAAACTAACGAAGATCCGTTAATTTGGACGGAAAATGAACCGATTGGACGAAATTGGCGAAAATTTCAAACATTAGGGTAAAGTTGGCCAACCGAAAATCTATTACATATGATTGACGACGAGGGCAAAGCATTAGGTAGGAACGACATTTTTTCCGATAAAAATCCTTCCGACTTATTTTTCCAAAAATTAATACTCCATTACAGCACTTAAAAGGACAAAAACCCCACCTGAACTGTGTCTAATGGGACTGTCTTACCCTTTCTGAGAATAATGACTCATGCAGATTTTTTAAAAAAAATAAAATGATCAAAATGCCCTTCTAAGCTTTTTTATTATTTTTTTAAAAATTTTTGAAAAACTAACACAGAACTCCAAAATATGCCTAAATCCCGAATGCCCTTTGATTTTTTTTTTAAGTACTATAATCCTTTTGACTAAAATTTGATAAGAATTAATATTGTTTTTTCGTTTTGTTTAACCTACGAATATGAAAAATTGGGATGTCGATTCAAAGAAGATGAAGTTGTCATCTTTTTAATATGGTTACTACTTTTGTCCTGTCTAGGGCTGTTAAACGAACCGGATTCGAGTACTCGCGAGATATTCGGTTAACAGCTTGAGCTCGACTCGAGTTTGACCGAATTCGAGCCAAGTTCGAGTACTATCGTTGGTTAATTGAGTCGAGCTCTAGTATCAAATATGAAGCTAGAAAACTCGATGCATAGCTCGGCTCGTTAAACATTTAATAATATATAAAATATTTTAATTTAACCAAAATAAATATGTCTTTTACCACTTTGATTTTTACTCATTTGTTGTAATACTTCATAGAAATTTCTATAACCTTTTACCTTGCTAGCAAATGCCATTTCCCATTATCCTTTTACATCGATCAAATCAAGGTCAGCCCATTAAATCTCTTTCCCAATTTCGTTTTCTCTGCCGTCTTCATTCATCATCTATTCATCTCTGCTCCAATTTGCATATCTACTCCCATCATTTTTTCTCCAACTTTTCATCTACATCTTCATATCTTCATTATCTTATCATCCTCCACTTCACTCTTCCATTCTAATTCACACAGATCTACGTCATCTACCATTGCTCTCTCCCTCTCTTCATCTTAATTTTTTACCATTTTGATTCTATTATTCCTCTATTTCGCATCCATCTACTCTAACTCATAGATCTAGTTTCATCATTATTTGTTCTTGTTTCTACAGATCTCCGTTGGTAAAAGTGAATGATTTAGGAATAGATGAATCTGATGTCAAGAAAATTTTCTACTTCTTCTCCTTTTTCTTTTTTTTTTTAAAAATATTATGTAGCAGAAAATTAATAATGAAAAATTAAATAATCGAGTCGAGCTCGAGCTCGAATTTTATTAAATTCATTAACGAGTCGAGTTCGAGTTAAATAATTATTACTCGGCGAGTTTGAGTTTGAGCTCGAGCTGAACAAAAATAATCGAGTTCGAGTATATCACTACTCGGACTCGACTCGACTCGACTCGAATACACCCTTAATCCTGCCTGTCGTGTCTTTGATAAATGAAGGACGTACACACATGCATGTTACTTAAATCATATAATGATTCATTTTCTTGTGTTTTAATTTATTATTAAACAAATGGTATGAAAAGTGAAAATTAACTAAAACAATCTTTTTTTGACAAAGGGAAAAAATATCAAAGAAATACATGAAAATTTCAAATATGCGAGATCATAGTTTTCAAATAGGGGTGGAATTTTTCCAGCCACCAAGATTATTACTTGAAGCCACCATTTTTGAAGAATTTTTATTTTGACCCTGTTATTTTGTCCAAACCCAAATGAAGTAGAGAGAGAGGGAGAGTGGGAGAGAGAGAGAGAGAGAGAATAAGCCACTCGGATCGAACCGAACAAGTCATCCGGCCCGATTCACGTGAGAACGTACAAATTATTAATTTTTATTTTAATGTTAGTTTATTCGCAGTATCGTTACATGTTGAATATCTCGTACTTTAAATATTATTAACAATATTTATACTTTAGTGCTTAAACTCTCGATTCTATATTTACTTGAAAATAAACAAGTAATTAATTTTACTTGAAAAATAAATTTAAGATTATTTGTTAAGTTAATTTATTTGAATTGATATTAAAATATAAATTTTACTTTAATCATTAATTTAAAGATAATTTTTAGTTAACATAATAATTATACATTTATAATGAAAAATAATAATTGTACTACAAAGATTGTGACAAAT